ACCTTCACGTACCTGGTTAGCATCATCGGTGAACAAGGAGGAACTGATGCAGACATAAAGGCAAGGATTGGCAACACAATAAAAACATTCCTACAGTTCAAGAACATATGGAACTCAAAACAATTGTTAACCAACATCAAAGCCAGAATCTTCAGTACGAACGTCAAGACAGTTCTACTGTACGTGGCTGAAACTTGGAGGACTATATATATATATATATATATATATATATATATATATATATATATATATATATATATATATATATATAATGTCAAACTCCTGCTGAAGCCCCTCTGGAGCTATTGTCGGTCCCAATTCCGGATAAAGGAGGAGGAGTGGGCATAAGGTTAGCTACCTTATCCCGCAGAACACTAATTCGGTAAATTGATATATTTTGCAAACAGTTAACTTATCTTTATATTGAACAGGTAAACTGAAATTTGATCACAATAGTTTTTATTATCACGATCCTATTATAATGAGCTATTTATTTTCAATGTTTCTTTAAATTAACTCTTCAATTATACTTAGTATTTTGATTCAAGTGGCCTAAATGAATAATTAGATAATATTTACTTTATATTTGACTAACATGTTGTTTAGCAAGTATACATATTGTTCTATCGTCTACCATGATCAATTTGAAATGAAGAAAGTCGTTCGTCGTTTAATTATTGGTTATATGGTTACCTCATGTAAATATTTATTTGTAATAGGATGTTCATTACTATATTTATTTATTTGTTTATTTTTATTTTTATTTTTTAAACGCCCAATATACATCGAATTCATCTAGCAATTTGTTGTTCATTGTTTAGATTGATAATAATTTTAATTCACAAATTTAGTTATTAATTAGTTAGAAATATAAACACTAATAGATAAAGGGTATAATTTGGTATAAGTGAGGTGTTTGTATATATGTGTATCTATTTATGTTCACTTATATACATCTAACAGTTTTGTCTATATGCTTTAAAATACCATAGTGATAATAAAAAGAAAAAAAAATTTGAAAAAGACACCGGGAAATATATAAAAATAACACGCACATACATACACAAAAAAGTAATTTTAGTAACCTATCACCCTATCACTTATTGAAGTGCTTTCGAGTATTCTGTAATTTCAATCTTTTGAGTCAGATATATATATATATATATATATATATATATTAATCGGTTGATGAGATAATCTGTCATTCACTTTGGGATATTTTTATAAATTGTACTTGATTGTAATTGACAAGTCAATAGGAAATGTGAAATATGAATGATGATTTATTATTATTGTTTATACATTTCGAGCAAATTATAATCTTTTATCAATTGTAAGTTGATTATCATGTTGTTAATTGTTTATTTCATTGTTGTTAACTGGCGTATAGAAGTAGATAAGAATTATTATTATCAATATTGTCATTTTATCAGTCGACAGTATTCTTGATTATTTCAACGAAGTTTTTTATTTATTAAAATAAAATTGTTTTATACACTTTTAATAGTTGAGATTATGAGTCAGTTGAAACTAGACTACTACGAAAAACCTTAAAGCACTGAATGGCCGTTTCGTCCTATTGTGAAACTCCTCAGCAGCGCGCATCTATGACCCCGCCGCCTCGCAAGATTTTATATACATTTAGATTAGAATGTTAATTTTTTTTTCAAGTTACAACACAGATACTACTGATGAATAATTCATTATAAGGAAATTGATATGTGACCTAATAGTGTTACATTTACGTCTAATTAATTTACTAATCCCAAAAAAATAATGATGATAGAAATTCCATAAGGATTACCATCACAATTTGTGAAGTACACTAAAACATTATTTTCAATAATCTGTAAAAATAATGTTTAAAGTACATAGCAACTTTATCAGTTGACCTAGACCAAATAAAGACAAGATTGAAGAAGAAACAAAAAGCAACTCAGCAAAGAAAATTTGCTTCTCCACAATCTTACTTACATTTAAACTGTACAGTCATAGTTGAATAAGTGAATTCGTCAAAAAGAAAATTTTCATTGCTGAATTGCCTTCTTTCTTTCTTCCTTTCTTCAATGACATAATAGGTCTCCTTCGCTATTTCAGATGGGATTATTAATTTTAGTGTAATAAACTAGTCAGTTAATGCTAATGTGTAGATTAAAATTGGTAAAATTAGATGTATTTCTTCTCATTAATCATATGTAAACAGCTGTTTGTGGAACATTGTGAACGGATACCATCCAATGTTTCAGTCTCACTAAACGTCTAATGTTTTTCAGATAATTAATTAGCCATTGTTCACAGTTAAACTTCAACACTGAACCTGTTACAAGCTTACTAAAGATAATATAAGTAACTATGTTAATTTATCAGAAATTAGCTTTACAATTATCAAAAGATGATAAAGTATAACTTATGTAATTTTTATCCGTACAAGATGATCCTAATTTAGTACTAGATTCAACAAAGATTATGAAGTATGAAATTTACAGTGACGTCATTGAATTTTAAGCAACTTATAAACTACATTCAACTGAAGGAAAATGTTACAACCATCAGTTGTGAAAAAATAATAATCAACTAGCAGATGGTAACGATTCCCTGGTAAACTATCCTTGGATTACTATCGACAAATCCTTATCAGTAATTCTAGTAAGATTTCAATTAAACAGGATAAAAAACAGTCACAGAAGGGGTTTTGTTGATATTATAGTAATTTTGATAGTTGGGATCATGAGTCAATTAAAGCTAGACCACCATGGAAAACCTGATAGCATTGGATGGCCGTTTCGTCCTATTGTGGACTTCTCAGCAGTGCGCACCACGATCCCACCTCGCGAGGTTCGAACCCAGAACCTAACAGCTGAGGAGTCCCACAGTAGGACGAAACTGCTGTCCAGTGCTTCCAGGTTTTTCATGGTGGTCTAGGTTCAAATGACTCATAATCTCAACTACTAAAAAAGTCCATTTATTCCGAAATGGAATTCTTAAATAAAGTTTAAACATCACTGATTTTTTATCAACATAGTAGTACCGTCATGTCAGTCCTTAAAAGACTTTTTATTATGTAGTTATGTTAATCAATTCACTAAAATGGAAAGTTATTCAAATATGTAATCAAGTTGATAAAACAAAAAAAAGTGATACATAAAATGATTGTAAATTTTCTTCTGGCTTTGGATAAACAGTTTTTTAGACGTAAGTCACCAATTATACGTAAGATATCAGAAAGATATTTTATTTGTAGAAATCCTAATGATTCAAAACGATTAATTACAATGTTGCATCAGTAGATTAGCTTGAGTGTCTTTATGGAAATAGGAGAAATAATTGTAGATACATTGAAACAAGTTTGTGACCTCATAGTCACTAAATGTTTCATATATATATGTGATCACACACCACAGCATAAACGCACTCCATATTAAATGACTTTTATCTACCTATGGAGTAGTTCGTCATCTCTACATGATTAGTACAGATTTAACTTTATTTATCATTTGCTATTTAGATCCTAACTATTTTCTTAAACAATCTTGAAGCAGGTCACTGAACAAAATGTTGTGACAGTTTAATTTCAGTTACTGGGATTCTTACAAATAATTTTATCTTACTTACATGGAAAACTGATAAATAACGAAGAAACAGTTAAGTGAATAAGAACGAACCTGCTTCAAGTAGCTTAGTATATCTATGAAAAAAAAGTAATGAATAAATAGATGTACAGATATGAATAGTTTGGGAATGTTTTTAAGTAAATGTATCATAAATGTCATTGTACTTATTAAGTTTTCTTCAAAAATTTAACTCCATTTAATATTGCTCAATATATATATATACTTAAAGACCGAGTACAACAAGCCTCCGGTTAAGTACAGTGTTTTCAATCGTATTATTTTCACTCAAAACCCAAAAATGAATAGGATAGAGGACTTTCGAATTTAGCATTGAAAATGGTAAAAACAAGTGGCTTGTAATCCAATATCTTAGATGTTTTAGCTCTGGTTTGCCAACATGATGATGTCGTTGCATTCATTATGCCAACTCTTTGTCCACAAACAAGTGCCAGTACAAATTCCTGATAGTTGAATTCATGAGTCGATCTAAGTTAAACCACCGTAGAAGAAGTGGAAGCACTGAACAACCGTTTCATCCTAGTATGGGACTCGTGAGAGGTGTGCATCCATGATCCCTCACGCGAGAATTGAACCCAATGTCGCGCACGAACACTTAACCTACTGGACCACTGAGCCGGCATCTAACGGTGTTATTGTCTAACCTCAACCAATCCACGAAATTGCGTGACCATCTTCCATAGTACTGAGGTAGATACGTGTCTCTACTCGATACGGATTGGCTCCACTGGTCACGGCGTCTCACCAGAACTACGAGAATTCTCTCACGAAGCTAGTCATTAGTGAGCACATGGTAATGATAAGTATGTGGGTTGTGGAGATTAATTGAGATCATGAACCGATTTATGTTAGACCGCCATTGAAAACCTGGAAGCACTGGATGGCCATTTCGTTCTATTCTGGGACTCCTCAGCAGTGCGCATGCACGATAACGCTAGCGGGATTCAAACCCACGGCCGAACGTTTAACCTACTGGACCACTGACCCGGCATCCGATGGTGTTAATGTCTAACCTCAACCAATCCAGTAGGTATTTACTAAACTTAAGATTGATATTGAAACTCATTAACATAAGAGTATTTATTATGAGAACAGAAAGTTTTAGATTTAATTTGAGGTGAAGTTTTACGTATTCATCGCTAAGAGCTTTTAAACTTTATGAAACAGATAATCATTTCTTTGTTGTTCGAAATCACAGTATGGTAATGATAAATTGTGTATTCAACTATGTAATGAGTTAATAAATTGAGGCTAATTCATCTGATTCATTCCGTTCTTTTTTTTCTTTTCCCTGTAAAGATATTTTACAAGATAGTTTACTCTATACTGTTTTGTCAGTTCAGTATGTTAAAATATTAAGATTGATCAATTATGCTGTTCTTAATCACTCTTAATAAATTTCGTTGGAAACATGTAAACTGGATGATTTTCGTTCTTGAAAATATACTGCTTATTATTCAACAAAGTATGAGTCAAAATTGTAATCAAAGAATATATGGACTATTCAATGGAAGTATTATTAGTATTACTACTAATATGACAGGTACAAATGTTGCACAATTATGTTGGTTATCTAATGAAAATTTCACTTACTTACAACCATTGAATGACTGTTTGGGTATGTAATTTTCCCTTTTTTTAAAGAAAAAATTTTATTTTAAAAAGGAAATATTGTTCCATATATTTTTACGTTTAAGAAAATATGCAGCTTAGATATATGCTATTGAGGTCTGAAAACTAGATAGTTTCATTGTTGATCTTTCATTATTGTTCTTCATGTAGTAAATAAGCAATAAAAATATTGCCTTGAATGCTAAAGAAGGTTATGCAATTATATCATTTAGCTTAGAGAATTCAACAGGATATAAAACGTTTTTTTATAAACGTTACAATTCATTGTATTCAAAATATAATAAAGTTGATTAATATGAATCTCGCGGGCGTCAGGCATGTATTAATGTATTCGACAATGTTATGTGTGATCTAGTCATCTAGATCAACTCCAGAAAACCAAACTTATGTATCCAGAAAAGGTATATTCAGCCTCTAATTTTAACTTGACCCACGACTAGATCGCCGGATACCTAAACGAAATATTATAAACCTCTTACCCCCCTTTTTTTATTACCTCTATCTCAATCTTCGTCTATCTTAATTACCTTGATCACACCTGTCTTATTACATATTATATTCACACAACAATATTATTATAATTATCTCAACTGACAGGATGAAATTCTCCTACTTTGAATTTTATTTACACATTTTTTTGCATTTTCATTTTTACTATAATACTATACTACTTATTGTGACTGGGCCCTTTACTACAAATCATTCTGACCTTTATTGAATGACCTTTCTAATTTGTAAATAACACATTTCTGAAGTATATATGTCGTAACAGATGCAAACGTGCACCATTTTTAACACATAACATTGTCAAATTCATTAATACATGCTTTATTTTAGGCCTTTGTAAAATATCATAATTATGGACTTATAACTGTAGAGCCTGTTGATGAAGGTATTGAAAACGATTGTTCGCTCAAATATTTTTCATTTATTTATCTATTTATTTGAGGAGATTTGAAATATGCACATTGTCTGTAATTTAACTAGTGAAGAATTAATAATATGTATCTTGTAACCGACGATAAAACACTGATGATAGAAAGAAGATTGGTATATAGAAATGGAGGGGGATTTTTAAAATTCAATGGTTCATAATCATCTAAAATCCACTTATCATATTTAACGTGTAGACTATGAAAAAATATCTTTATAAAATATGATGTATGATATAAATAAACTATATTTTCTCACGTTTCATGACTCAGTGTAAGCCACTTCTTCAGAGAATAAATAACCAAATCAAAATTAATTCAAGTTTAAATAGTACTATGTGCGATCAATCAAAATACAGGTCTGAACAAGTCAATCTCATGTCATTTCGGTCAAGATGATTTATAAACGACATGTATGCAAACGTGTGTGTGTGCAAGGTTAGGGATGAAAAATGTGAACTCTGTGGTGAGAAAGGATTGAGTTTAATTTCTATGCAAGATAATAGCGTGAAGTGTAAATAATATCAAACATCATAGCTGGGATAGATAGTCCAAGTAGGACGTATGGTGAGGCCTTCCTTTCTATTCTGAGCAGTAGGGTTAGGCATTATATAGAAAGCTTCAGCTGCTCTCCTTTCTTTGTAGTTCGAAAAAACCTTTTTGTAATATTTTGATGTTTTGAAATCGATTTGGTGGTTGTTGAAAATGGCGTATGATAGTTTACAAAGTGTAACGATACAGTGAATTATATGTTTTATGTGTATTACGAAATTTTGGGCGAGATTTTAGTGAGTCGAAATTAAAAAGCACCTTTCCTAAATAAGTAATCCATAATAGAATGGTTTATTTATTATCATATGTCGCTGTTTAGCTACGAATTATGGTTTTTTTCTAACGGTCGTTCAGAGTTGTATATCAATAGTATCTTCTGATAGACTGACATTTAGAAGTATATTAACAAGTTAAAAATGGTTATATTGAATGATATTTTATTAAGTAAACTGGAAAAGAGAATATGAGGAAAGAAAACTGTATTATACATACGTCTTTTGATAATTTTCTGTTGACATGATATATCAATATCTGAGCCAGCTCGGAGAACAAAACTCCATCAAAATAATCCACCTGAGCTATATCAATATTCAGTAGGAATATATACATTTATTTTAATGTAGTATTTTTGTTCACATTCAAAGGTTTGATTTTTGTTGAGTGGTATAAAATGGTTTTACGATTATAACATACATGTCATTATAAAATAAATATCAGTGTATCCTGGAAATATCAACCGTTTTAGATAATTACCTACAGTTCTCAAAAACTCTAGGCTAGACGGTTTATAAATGCTATTCATTTAAAGGGTAGATTCCATCATAGACTTTGGTTAGACAACTATTGGGAATCAGATAATGCGAGGTAGCTTTATTGTCTTAGTATCCATTTCCTCTACTGCAAGAAATCGTGTTAAGGATTTTACTCGACCTTAAATCATCAAAAATGAGTGGGCTGTCAATAGATCACCGTATCATCAATTGTTAATCTAGTATCCACTGGTTTTAAATGGTTATCTCACTGATGTTATTCGGAAATGTAAGTAATCTTTAGATTACAAAATAAGAAAGTTAACATGTGTCAGTATGAGGTTGTGGAGATTGGTGAATTTTATTAAACCATGAAACATTTACACGTGGAAGCAAGGGTCCTGGTATCGATTCCCGTTTGAAATTTAGAATATACGGAATATTATATTTTGGCTTAGTCTCATCCAAGTTTCGATCAATCTTCAGTGTTAAGGATACGCAAACCATTTTTCATTGGCCGTATATTTAGATTTTATTTGAAATGAAAATAATAGATAATTTGATGTTCATTCATCAAAGACAAAGGGATTTGCGTAAGCCCCTGAAGTTAATCACTTCCTCCCCATGATGAGTCATGTGTACTCATTACTATGTAATCCGAAACTAGGAGGGAACAACTGTTCATTGCTCCAGCGTATCAAGCGATAACTCCACGAATATCATGTGTTCATAACGAACATCATTTATATATTACGTATTATAGTAGTGATGCAAAAATCAAGAGACGAATGTTGAGAATATGTAAACACACAAAGTGGAAGAAATTAGAAAATGGTTTGGATATTTTTGAAGAAAAGGGTCTAAAGTAAGTTCAGCTGAAAACTCACTCCTGTACTGATGGTTAAGTTAGTGACAGTAATTGCACACAATGTTTTTAGATACAAAACTTAGGTTTGCAAACATGAATCCCGATAGGTTCAGCAATATGTAACAGACAAACTCGTAAACCATGTGGTAAATTTATTGGAATATGGTAAATAACCTTAAAAGCTTTATTCAAATCGAATTGATGACCTGTGTTGACAAAGTAAGCAAGAATATAACTCTTAATCACTCTTACTTATCCTTTGCTCAATCAAGATGGATGGTGTTCTACTGTGTGATGACAGACTTACCGAATTATACATCCCATTTAACTGGCTCCACAAGAGCCGTTTAAATGCTAAATCCATATTAAATTAATCTACGAATACTAATTTTTTTTTAAAAAAACTTAAAAATTTGTCAAAATATTTCTCATCTGTCTAGAAAAAAAATCGTGTTTCACAGTTTAAAATGAGACATGATGAGAAAAAAATTTTTTCAAATTTTGTTTTTTCATTGTTAAATGGAATAGTTACTGAAAATTCAGTCTGGTCATATGAAAAGTTTAACAGATAATGAGAATAGGGGAATAAGTGTATGTGTGTGTGTGTGGGGGGTAATATCTAATTTGTTAATTAGTGTGTAATTCAAACATGTATGAAATATACAGTATACAGATATGCATAGATAAACAAAACAGTCTACTAAGTATATTGTTATCAGTTCATTATAATATTTAGTTTATAGTTTGTTTGTTTTTTTATTTTTTAAGGTTCATGTTTCAGGTACTTTTTTTCTTTTTTTGCTGACGAGTCAGTAAACGTTTTTATACTCCTCACAGTAACTAAAATTATTTTGTACAAAAATATAACTAACAGACAGAAACAAAGGAGGTGGTGGTGATGGTGGTGGTGATGGGGGTCTGTAAAATAATTTAAGTAATGAACAATTCACTAACTACAAATACACTAATATTATAGTGAATAAAAGTTTATTAATAATAACACTATTTACAGTAATCAGTTGGTTGTTAGACAGTTTTCATTGTTTCTGTAATTACCGATAAAATCAGGCGAATTCAAACAGTACAGAAATGCAAACAAAGTAAAAGACAAAAAGCAACAAAGTTTATGGGATAAAAATAATTCATTTTATTATAATAACTAATTTGTAGGTAAATGGCGGTTCGTAGTCTAAAAGACATTTCAGTTATTCGATGAAACGGATCATTTAAACAATGTCAGATAAATTTGTGGTATCTTTTGATGTTTACTCATTATTTACAAATATATTGTCAGGGGGAAATTACAAATTATAATTTTCTAACAATCTGAACATCTTCCTTTGTTCAAAAATGAGTTGAGGAAATCATCATTACTTTGTAAAAATGTGGTTTATTTCCAGCTTAGCAATTAATTATGCAAACAAACCGATGGAGTGACCATGGTATTATGACTAGGATCTATATTGGCTAAGAACTTGATGGCTAACCCAGAATAGACAAAACTGAAGCACAACATACTACTCCAGATACGTTGATTTGTTTATTATTTCTGGTGATATAGATTGTGTTTCACGTTTGTCTAACAACTTCAACAACTTTCCTCCAAACATAATCTTTACAATAAAATGTGAAAAAGATAACTAATTAATTATTTAGATCTTAATGTAAGGCGTAGAAACGATAGAACTATTGCAAAAACTAAATGTATGAAAGAAACACTTATGAGAGAGAATTCAAACTATGACGGCCGTTCTCTTACTAGTTTCAAAGATATTTAGTCAAAACAGTCCTCAATAGACATAGGAAGTTGTGCTCAAACGATAAGATAAACAAAGAAGCAAAAACCCTAATGAATAATGATTACCAGGAAAAATTCATCAAGAAATGTGAAAAAGAACATCTTGGACATGATGAAGAACGGACTGTCTATACAAATATTTGTCAATATTTGAACGAATAGTTTGACAAAAAAATGGGTACTGAGTATGGAGAAGACCTTATTTATGAAGATTATATTCGAACTAATCTCAGCTGTGTACAATAAGCCTATCCTCATCCGTCTTCTTTTCAAAGGGGATTAAATTTCAGGTAAAATAGATAGAAGAATCAAGACACCACTGAGAAGAAGCTTCTCTGCTGTCCAAACCATACAGCACTGTGTTCATAATATCATTCAGAGGTAGATCAATACACTTCCGACACTACTTTCAATCGCATCTGCAAAGTTACATGTACCTGCAATAGTATAAATATAGTAAGGATACAGGGAAGGATTTCTATTATGTTTTCTGAACAAGTTCTTAGGAAGTAGTGACTGAAATCGAGTAAAGTTTTGTAAGTGCAGTTGCCAAACATCTTTTCGACAGTGGACATAAAGTAGACGTAAGTAGTGAATTCAAGTTATTAACAGTCATCTACTTTTATTCCATTTTTTCAGTGGCAATCGCTATCAAACGTTTCTAACCTGACTTTTATATACAGAAGGAAAGTGTGATTAGCCTGTCTCTGCCACAGTGAAAGATTGTTAGTCAAATAAACCTTCTTGAACCCTCCTTTTTTCATCTAATATTTTAAGTATTAATTGTTTGAGGATATATGAACAATGAATAAATATGATGATACAATAGAAAGATTATAATATTAGACAATGTAGTGAAAACGATAGCAATAAGTGATTGTGCGTGAGCAAATAAAAAGGCGTGTAGAACTAACAAACGTATAACAGATTACAATGTGAATAAAGTGTGATAATTAGAACGCTTTTCTCACAATGATTAAGAGTATTAGAGGGGTTAAATGAGATGAAGTGACATTCATAAATAAAATCCTGGAGATATGCGTAATAACTAGAGAGGGAGGGATACTTTTAAATGTGAAATCAATCGAAAAATATTTATTTCAGCACACAGACATTGGTACAAGGAGGCACCGAATATTTATAAGCGCTATGCAAATCATTCGATTTGTAAGGGCTGGAATACTGCCTGAACAAAGTGGTTGATTGTCTTAGGTGACCACACACGGAGCCTTTGACTTAGAGTTCTAATCCAAAAGGTAGTACAACAACGTTAGGAGATGCAGCCCCATGGAATACAGTGACCAACAATAGGCTTATACACCATTTATCCCTTCAGGAACTCGGAGGCCATGTTCACTATTGGTTTGGAATCAGTTTTTTCCAACTCATCTAGGTTGATCTTCTACAACCGCCAACCTTGTTAAAGCACCAGACATTCCGTCTTCGTCCTCTAAACTTCATAACTAAACCCCCGCCGCGGGAAGGCAGTGAGTATGACTTTCCTGTCAGTGGCTGTATACACGTGGCTACATGAGAGCATTTCGACCGTACCAGGGTATTATTATAATAAAAATAATAATTTAAAGGTACGGTGAAGGCAACAATAAGACATACTTTCTTATACACATAGTTTAGGTTTCATTTCAAAGATGACAATAGCTTCTACTGTTGTAAAGAGTTAACTAGGAAGAAATTTTGGTAGATTTGGACGAATTTTGTGAACAGTCTTAAAATTAGTCATAGATAAGTTGAGTGATTGGAATAGATTAATTATTCAAGAATAGAACTCTTAACCGCTTACATCTCAATTTTGCTGAACCACACTAGATATGTCTTCGTATTTAGGTTGCAACCAATGTTTGCATTCAACTTCGATACAAGAGTCTAATATTGATCCTTTACATTATCTAATTGAGGTTCATACAATTATTTCGTTTTGTTCTTTGTCATACTGAATGATTATGCAATCAAATGTTCATTACATTGCCTTTACATAAACCTTTTTATCTGGATTATTATTAGTAGTAACTACAACACTTATCCCTTTTTGAATTACCACTTTCCAACATTTAAATAAACATCAATCCTAATTATGTTTATTTACACATTTTGTTTTCTATTCTTCTAATTATTAAGATTTAAGTTACGTTTATTTCACAAGCTAAGATATATTGGGGCGAGACTATAATTTATGGACAAACCAATCAGATTTAAGATAATAGATCCTGAATTTTGAAGCGAAATCCACTCATCCATTTGGTTAAATAAACTTTTGGCATTATAGCTGATGTCAGTTCGTGATGAAAACGCTATAGCTGATTTCTAACCCTAACTATCAACTGTGAATATTAATCCCAATTCCTCACGCTGGTTTATAAACCCCATTTAGCCATAGTATGTAGGTAGACATTCTCAAGGTCGTTTTAGCGTCGCTCACAGGTTGTCCATAAATTATAGTCTCACCTAAATTGGTTGATAGCATGGAGTTGTGGAAATTGTTTAATTGCATCAAAATCACAAAGTGGTCTAAATTAGAAAACTTGAAATCACTGAAATATCGTTTCGTCCTGATATAGGACTATTGAATGATGCGCATCCATGATCCCAATAACTCAGGACTTTAAGTAATTATCATTTTAAGTTGTATGTAATTATTGAGAAGCCATGAAATTGAATGAATTCATTTAATTATAGAAACCTGTTTATTTTTATTCTTTAAAAATTAACTAATAGATCTGATTGTATAAAATAGATAAATGATTTTTTTTAAAAACAATGGCTTTTTACTATCCACATTGTATTATTAAATTTGATTTGAATTATTTCAATAGAATAATTATAATTTATAAGTACTTTTAAAGTAAATAATAATCTGGTTATTATTGTTTTTAATAGTTGGATTCACTAGTTAGTTAAAGCTAGATCACCATGGAAAATCTGGAAGCATAGTTTGACGGCCGTTTTATCCTAGTATTGAACTCCTCCGTAGTGCGTATCCACGATCTCGCCTCATGAGATTCGAATCCAAAACCTATCAGTTTCACGCATAAGCGCTTAACCACTAGTCCCGTGAGCCGGCATCAAACGGTGTCAGTATTTAACTTTTTTTAATTTCCATCAACAAAATTTTAAGCACTTTATCGCTACTTAAATAAAGGAAAATATTGAAATCTATGAGTAATTCATTGAATATTTTCACTTGTATACTATTTCGTCAAATTATTCATCAATTAAACTTTATGGTTAGTGATTTAGTGTGGAACATCAACAACTTGTATTTCATAGAATTGAAGTATACGAGATTGATAAAAGTGAATATTGAAACTCATTATGAATATTCATTGTAATCATACTCACGTAAGATTCCTGCTTCTTTAGGGAAAACATTGACTATTGCTTAATCTATTAATTTCAAAGTGTTTTATTATGAATACGTTATTTTTATTGGACGGTTTGCCTCCAGAATTATTCTTTCCCTTCTAGTTATTAAAACTTGCTTAAAATAATGTCAGTTAACTAGGTATGACAGTGATATTTAAAGAAATGAATCTTAAAATATTGTTTAGATGATATGTCAATCTATTAGGCTTAAAACCCTAGGAATCTTGAAATTTTGATGTTCTGTTTATTCCGGTTAGATTTTTCAATTCAGTTTGTTAACTGAAATTATGAATTAACAAGTCTTTTCGTTATTCTATAAACTAAATGGTACCATGGTCATATTAAAAATAATTATCCATTCACCAAATAAAACTGAAAAAAGCTATCAATTTCATTTTATTAGTTTTGACTGATATTTGATCAGTGTTGGCTAGAGTTGGGATATTCGAAGCAAATGGTGCTGGGTTCGAGCTTCGGAGTGAAAGTAAACAACAGGATGTAGGTACATCCAGCTCACAAGTCACAGATGAGATGAATCACAAGGTCTGAATTCTACCGCTAGCCTTATTCTTTTAAAATTCATTAGAGTTGTGACGGGTAGACAGGAAACCTATCTGCGACATCAATATCAGTAAGTTTGCAACTAAATATAGGATAAAATATACTCATAGAACAATACTTCTGAAGTCATATCACTTGTACATATCCTTTATCAATAAAACTTAAATTAAAAATGAACGCATCTAGACTGATCAGAATCTCCTTTTACTGTTTCGATTGTTAATTGTGTTTGTGTTCTTTTTTACTTTATAAGTATGAAGACAATGGTGGATGTGTCGCTCAATTTTGTGAATTAGTTGAAGTTAGACATTAACACCGTTGGATGCCGGCTATCTAGTGGTCTACTGGTTAGGCGCTCGCACGCGAGACTGATAGGTCGTGTGATCGAATCTCGCGAGACGGGATCGTAGATGAAACGGTCGTCCAGTGCTCCCAGGTTTTCCGTGGTGATCTAGCTTCAATTGACTCATGATCTCAACCACTGAATTTACTATAGTATCCAAAAACCCTTCTGATATGAAAAATATCTCATTGATCGTTATAAGACACCTTTGAGTTTAGTTGAATACGTAAATTATATTTGTGTAAATAGATATTCTGAATTAATCTTTTAACAATATAAATATATTCTATATATTTCTATGTACTTTTAATTATTGTAGACTTTAGTGTAGTATGGATAACTGAGCCACCAAATGAATGGCATATTGATGAAATAGTTAGAATTAGATTTTTTGTAACTGCTTCTCCATCATTTTACGGACAAGCTATACAGTTCAATATATTTTCACGTAATCCATTATTAAGGTAAGGATATAATTTTTACATTATATATTGGTTAATTTAGTGAGAATAAAGGTTACTTTTTGGTATATGTTTTGATTAAAACTTGACGACGAAACTCTGGAAGATGTAGAATCCTTCACATACCTGATAAGCATCACCGATGAACAAGGAGGTTCAGATGCAGACGTAAAGGCGAGGATTGGCAAAGCAACAACAGCATTCCTACAATTGAAGAACATATGGAACTCAAAGCAACTTTCAACCAATATCAAAGTCACAATCTTCAATACCAACTTCAAAGCAGTTCTACTGTACTGAGCTGAAACTTGGAGAACTACAACAACCACCATCATGACAGTACAAGTATTTATAAATGGTTGTCTACTCAAGATACTCAACATCCATTGGTCGGATAGCATCAGCAACAGCCTTTTGTGGGAGAGAATAAACCAGCTTCCAGCTGATGAGAAAATTAGGAAAAGACGATGGAAATAGATAGGACATACACTACGCAAATCGTCAAACTGCATCACGAGGCAAGCCCTGGCTTGGAAACCTGAAGTGAAGCGGAAAAAAGGAAGGCCAAAGAACACATAACGTCGGGAAATCGAAGCAGATATGAAAAGGATGAATGACAATTGAGCTGGGAAGGACTGCTCATATTTCTTCTAAATGAAGACCTTCTAACTCCCAGGACAGAGTTTAAATGGTTTGAATAATTTTTTCTGGTTTGCGTTTTTAGCGAATTAGCTCTCTATGGGATGGTATCGCTAACTCCATGCCCAACCCTCCTACTTTACCCGTGCTTGGGACCGGCAGTTACTCTAGAAGAGCTACAGGCGGAGTTATTTCTTACAAAGACAACCAATAAATTTAGTAAAACATTGATCATTGTGGTTTAATAAGAGTTTTACTGAATCAAGACCATTAGAATGTATCCAAATTTATGTTCAAAAATAAATTTTAATGAGGATAAACGTTTGTTTTTTATTTGTTAAGCACCAACCAATAATTTAAATGGGAAAAATCATAGTTGAATCTTTTCTACTTTTTTCGATTGTATAGTTCAATTGGCGATGTATCATCGTTTTGTTCTGCAACATCTTGCAAAATATTTCAAGTTGAAAGTACATGTTGTATATGGCATATGAGTCTGTTTATGAATAGATTAACTTCTCCCAGTGAACAATTTCCTTTGGATGTTTGTGATTTCAATAATTTTAATAATAAAAGTATACCAGTTTATTATGGTTCATCACTGAATTCTGAATGGAGTCTTTTAGTTCCAAGTAAGTATCTTCATTATGTTCATATTATTACATGAACAAGTAAATATACAGATAACTTGAAATGATCGATTGTAAAATGTCTGTTGCTTGACAATATCGAGAATGAAATATTTCAAAGAGTAGAATAATTTAATTGGGCTAGTAATATGGAATAAACCCTTGTTAGCAAAATTTACAGTCAATGAGTTCCAATTTATTAGGATATCACTATAATTACATAAAGATTATGTCCAAATGGCTGATTTAGAATAGCCTAAACTACAAAACTACACAATCTTTACAACGTTTAAATCTTTTGTTTACCAGTGACTAATTTCGAGAGGTAATTCTTGTATTTCTGGCTAAACTCTATGACTATTGAGGTTCATCAATGTTGAAAAAGTAACAAATATCACGAATGATAAAGAGTGATATTCACGAAATATCATGAAAAGTTTAAAGCTAGATAATATAAACTATTGGATGGCAACTAAACGATCAAAATGTCAAGCCTTCTTCACAAGGTCTATTGATCCTGTATTCTATCTAGAGTAAGGTCTTAGATATACTTAATTTTCAATGGTTATTCAATTAAATTAATTTAAGAAATGAAAAGGATTTAGCATACAACTTTAACAATCGCCATCTTAATTAATTTATTCACTCGTAAAAACTGATTTATCAGACATCTTCCATTGTTTGGTTTCCCTTATCACTTTTATCTCTTTCTGTTCGTCTTTTTGATCTTTTTGCTTTGTTTAATCCACCATATATCATCTTATTGTTGTTTTATTTAATCTAAACATTTTCCACGGTTATTTATGAAATTCATTCGTTTGATGATCATCGTATTACCTTGCGTTTGTTCCCATTCTCTTTTACTCAATTAAAATATCAAAATAGAATCATTTAATAATTCTTTTTGCGATTCTTGTTACTTAATAAACAACCGTTGGTTCAGTACTATTTGTCAATGATCAGTAGCAATCTAACTGAAATAAATGTTCACTGTAGTAAAACAGCTGATATAGAACTGTCATTACTACAATACCACATTTTACACTTATGAAATAAAATAATTAAGAATGAATTGGGAATGATTAAGCTTTTTTAAAACTTGACTAAACAAAAAAATGCTTACAATAAAATTACAACTAGCTGGGAAACTAGTAAATAACTTTCCCAACAAGTTACAATCTGTTATATCCCGACGAGAATCATGAATGGTAACTTTTGAGAACTATTAAGTAGCTAAACTATGCATATTCATGTTCCTCTTATTATAAGCTTGACCCATAGACAATTATTATACGATATACCGTTCTTGAGTTATGCCCAGTCTATCAATTATAGTCTCCCACATTCACAGTCACTTTGGGCTAGATCTTGTACAAATGTTATTTCCTATTTTATGGTATGATGTGGTCTGTTTGGTTTGTATACAAACCCAGTATGTTTGGAATACATGATTCATACCGCGGAGGTTGAGATTGGTGTTCTGGATTTAACGGGCAGGGTTAGGCAGGATGAAGCACCTATCAAGACTCTAAACTGCTCGTACGTGTTTATGCGTCATCGATTCGGTCGATAAGTTACTGTTCTTTAATTAGTGGTATCATTACGTTTGTATATTAAAAAGGCTACAGGGCCACAAGTTACAACACAATCAATTTGACTTAGTATACGTCGATTACGAGATAATCAGTCAGCTTCATGAAAGGATTATTAATAATAGTAATAATAATTAGCACTTCATTCATTATTATGTATTAACCACAAGTTAATAATTTAAACGAAGATAATCACTCTTAGATTTCTTTATTGAAAGAGATACTCAGGTCAATCAAGAAATAATCAACAAAATTACTTCAGCAGTTTCCTCGTGATCTTTATTTAAATTGCAATATATCTATAGTTTAATGTATATAGTTAAAAAGGTTTCTACAACATTGATTAATGTCAAGATAACTTCAACTGCAAATGCACTGCAGTTAGTTCTCTTCTGGCAAGCTTTCACTTGATGTATATATGTTTTGTATATGTACTATAGAAGCACAACCCTTAGTTTTATGTTAGTGAATTCCGAGGAAACCGTTACTTATTCTGTTAAATGACGGACAAGGACAAATCTATGAGTAAAGTTTGGAAAAAAATTTAAGTAAACAATATAAGCAAATATACAATGCAGAAGAATTCGCGAATTGAAATTGTAAATGTCGGTTAACATAAAACAACTAAATCCCTTTTTATACAAAGTTGAACGTGAAATTTTTCTTGACGTTAACAATCAGTCCAAATGACTAGGTCAGTATAGAATAAATGCATGGATCAAGATAAATAAACATTTTATAAGAATGAATAATTATACAGCATTCATGTAATTTTTTAGCTTATTTCATACACCGGAAACTTGGTTACAAATAAATCCCTTAGTACAAAAATTCAAGGCAATTTAGTGAAGAAAATTCCTTTTCTAACGCTATTATATACTTAAGCTATACAATCGTGTTCATAGTTAATTAACAAATCAAATAATCCTTAGGAAACTGGTGAAAGGTTACATCTTGTTGTGTGTCAAAGAAAGTCAGAGAAGGGTTTTTGTGGATATTATAGTAACGAATTGGTTGGAGTTAGACATGAAAACCGTTGGATGCCAACCCAGTGGTCTAGTGTTTAAGCGCTTGCTCACGAAACTGTTAGGTTGCGGGTACGAACCTCGCGAGGCGGAATCGTGGATACGTACTACTAAAGAGTCCCATAATAGGACGAGACAACCGTCCAGTGCTTCCAAGTTTTCCATGGTAGTCTAGCTTAGATCGACTCATGAATTCAACTATCAAAGAAAGTCATTTATCAATTGAGAATTTGAAGAAAGATAATAAGATTAAATCAAATGTGTGAAAGATAACTGTCCACTTGACGATTATCAGAAAGGTGATTAAAACATTGGGAACGTTAAGATGATAATAACGAATACTTAAAGTTAAAAATATATGAAGTATCAGAAGGATGCATTAACAATAAAGTCATCTTTTGTGGAAATTAAGCGTTAGGACTATGGGAGAATGAAGGCTTGCACTTGTTGCTTTGTACACAAAGTTTAATTTTTAAAAAAACGATGGATTACTAACGCCTCTACAGTGCATACATTAATAATTTGTGCTCCTGATGATCCAAATCATGTGGACATTTAGTTTTCAGAATGACTGAATCGTAATTTCTACTGGTTTTCAAAGAAATGGAAATAAGGGAATCACATAAAATAGCCCTGAATAAATATCTACGACTTGATAATCATTTTTATGTGAGGACGACAAAACTAAAATCACGATTAGCCCTAAAAAATACAAGCATCTTTTTGCCAAATACTGATTATTTACCTATAACATTTTTGTTATAATCGTCCATGTACAATCTAAGTTCATTGTTTTAAATCTGATCAAAATCGGATCAATCCAAGTTGTAGTGTTCCAATAATAGTACATCTCACTAGGTATTTGCTTATTAATATAACAAAAGACACATTGAAGAACATTGGCACATTTAATAATAATATTAATTTTCTAGATTAGTAAGGCCTTATAGGTACAATGATAAAATATTCTTATTTCATTTCTGAGTAGTTTTTACCAAACTTTCAAGTAGATTTTCTCAAAGCTTTAGGGCTGTATCACAGGTGCTCATTTGTGAATATTAAAAGGTCAAATCATATCATTCTTCTAAACCATTCACATTATTTTCATGCCATTGGATTAATATACATTTTCTAAGATAAAACAATGTCATTTCTCTACCTAATCATCATATTTGTGTTAATAACTTCCAACCCTTTTTCCTACATTCGTATTTATTCTATTCTAGATGTTACACAACCAGGAATTTATTTATTACTTGTTCGAATACTGGTTGGAAGATTTCAAAGTATTTTGGTAAAAAGAGTAACAATTACAGGTCCAGGTATTTTGTGAAATTTAGAAATTATGCCGATAATACATGTATATATTTATATGCTTTATTTAAATGGATAATCTTATAATAAGCTGAATACTATGACTGTCTATATATTAATGTGTAACAAGTCTCGACCGAAAGTTATTGATCATGTTTATTTTAGACAGTTTGCTTTTAGACGGATGATTACAACGTACTTCTGTTCATCTACTGACATTTTATTCATCGGAATTATGAAATATTTCAATACACAATTACATCTATCCGTATGAAGTTATAACCGGTTCATTGTTTGGAGTTAAACAGTGAGAACAGATTGGTTGATTACTTCACTGTAATATTAGATTGTTTGAAGTTACCATTATAGATCACAGGAATCCTACTTGGTGATGTAATTTTGAAACGACTTTTATTTATGTAGAGTTTTTGTTATTAAATCATAATAGTTGGAGAGCCATTGAAGAACAAACAACATTGAACTAGACTGCTAACAAACATTGTATTCATAACGAACTTTCTTAAACCATCTAAATATGAAACTGTATGAAAAGTGTACTATACATAATAGGTGAGGGTTATTTATCATTTGTTAACTATAAATCTTTATGGAAGTGCATTATAAGCCAGTTTTTTGTATTTTCTGTTCACCTTAGTTAATATGTATCAGATGAATTGGTAGTTTAACAAACGCTCCCATTGTTTATTTGCAGACATTTACCGTATATTACAAGAAAATCAATCGCTAGAAGTAGTGGAAATAGTTTTAATCGTATTGGCTTGTTTATTACTGCTGGTTATTGGATTTATCTTATTGTACTATGTAAGTCATTATAATTACATATGCTCATGTCATTTAATCGTTTGTTTTATACCTTATCGTAACTCAGTATACCAATGTTCATTTAGAATGATCTTGTATTAATACTGTTAGTGAAGATGACCTCGTCTTATTAGGAAGAAAATATCCAGAAAGTTTAATTCCGAAAATAATCACATGATTGATTTATGAATTCTGCTTGAATGATACAAGACCAAATATACAGTGTATTCTTATTGTTATTATTACTGTATTCTTACTGTTTCATTTTATTGTTCTTCTGTGTTGTTTAGTAGTACAAATTATGAGGCTGATTGGTGTCCAAAATACTCACTGTTTGAAAGTAACACAATGCGTGACCGAATAGTTCTTATATTAATCTAGAAGATATATCAAACCTTGGTTATTGAGGATGTAGTTCTCAAATGATTAGACTTGGGACCTATAAATTTCGCAGCTAGTGAGATACATTAGAGTGAATAGTTCACAGTTTCATCCGAAGTCATACTGTGATATAAAGTGGTTTTCGTAAAAGATTAACTATGATTATCGATTTCGCTAACAGTTTTATTGACTCCATTTATCTAAACTTTCTACTAAAACATCAATTCTTAAGCTTATCATGAGACCTGACATTTATGATTGCGATTCTATGTGAGGTATATTGCCCTCTGAAGTTGGATGATTTCTCCAGCTGATGTCATTTGGTGGTGAAATGCATTTTGAATTTGATTAAATCCTCACAAAATAAGCTTTGGATTCTGATTATATAGTTCGTGAATCAGTAGTTTAATTGCATCTCATTATTTGTATTTTCATTACTGCTCTATTTATCACGAAACAGGTTATAAGAAAACATAAAACAAACAAGGAAATCGAAGAAACTTGGGTACTCAATCCAGAGAAAATTTGTGATAGTAAGTAAATATCATAATAATGAGTTAATTTACAATACAACGGATAATTTTGGATGCTGAAATTCAAGATGAGCTAGAAAAAATACTTTTCAGAAAACAGTGTTATTTAAGAAATTACTTCTGACAGAATTTCATTCAGATTTCGATAACAAAATCTTTGTTAAATCAAGTCTCTACAGTATTTACGAAGGGCTTATGACGAGGAATTCTGAAATTCAAATAAAAAAATTTTTGAACTCATCAGACTGAATTCTCGTATATATATATATATATATATATATATAATAGTACATAAAGGATGGAGACATTTTGTTCAATAAAGGAACAATTATTATAAGCTGAGATGATGGTGGCTAGTAGCGGAATGGAGGACGCACGTTTTGTCCTATTTGGGACTCGTCAGTTAGATGTACCTGCATTCCAAGGTTGATATTCAATTAAGGCAATGACGAGGCGATCCGCACAAGATACACATATGCCAATGAGTGACTGATCGATTGCAGTCCTAAATACCAATTAGGAAGATTCAAAAAACCAATACAAAATAAATTAAACTTCACCTCATTACACAAGCTGTCTTGACTCAGTAGCTAAGTTGATAACGCAATGACGTTTTAAACAAACGGTAGTGGGTTCGAGTCTCGGAGTGAACATCAACTCAGTGATTCAGGTACATTCAGCCAACCTGTCCCAAATAGGATGAGACGTGAATTCCTCTACTCGTCACCGTCATCTCAGCTTATAATGTCTGTTCCTAAGCTTTGTATGTTTATTATTCTTTAGCCTTCTGATATTCATCTCTTACATTATATGATTGATGTTCATATATTTGCTTATTTTATCATGTTGAGCGATTACCCAATCACTTAATAAATTTCATTACCTTTACATATCCTCTGAATTACTGCTTTCCAACTTATAAATATATATAGATCATAGCCTTGTATACCTATTTTTCTGATTCTTATGATTTCGATTACGTTTCGAATATTTATCTAAACTGCACAAACTAAAGTGTGCTAAACATTTATTATTAATTATATCTATATTAGTGATTGTAATTTCAAGTTGTATACATGTGATGAGAAACCATGAAACAGACTAAGGAATTATTTTTACTGTGCAAACCTTGTTGTTTAAGCTCTGTCTAAAGGGAGACATTATTTTAATGAAAGATGAGAAACGTCAAGGCATACATGAGTTCTTAACTATTGTTTAGACGATCCGACCATGTTAAAAATGGAATTTTAAACATTTTAAAGCACATTATAATGGGATTTTTGAATGATTTATATGAGTTTGATTTGAACAACATAACGAAAAGTTATTCTCACACTAGTATGTGTCTGTTTATTGCCGCTCTTCTATGATGTATACCCAACATTTAGTTCAGGAAAAAGTTTTCAAGCAAAATGTGGTCATCATTGACCTTTATTGGTCTATATACAAGTCAATTACAGGAATTTTAAGGTTTTCTGTATATTTCTTAGTCTGTCCAACCACTCGCTTATTTATATACGTTAATATATACAATCCAACAGAATAATGCTTGTTTGATATTGATTCGTTCAATCAGATCGAGATCTGTAATAACTTTTCTTAATTACAATTATTTTAGTTGATCCAGAGGACAGGTGGATTAAAATGTTTCTATCCCGTTCAACAAACTGTTCGCTTAAGATGATGTAAGTTACTTTCAACAAATTTCATGAAGTTTAGCGAGGTAAATATTTTTATAATTATTGCATGAAACCTATACATTAATTAAGAATTAATGTAGTATGGTAGAAATAACTTCTTTTAAAATTTCAAAGGTATTACTTACTTACGTCTATTACTTCCAATGAACCATAAGATACCTACCAGCACTCTCCAGCCCACTCTATTCTGGGCCTTTCTTTCTAGTCCTATCCAATTGTAGTTCATTCTTCTCATGTCTGTCTCCATATCTCGGCGTGATGTGTGCTTTGATCTTTCTCTTCTCCTTTGGCCTTTAGGATTCCGTGTGAGGGCTTGTCTTGTGGCGCAGTTGGGTGCTTTCCTCAATGTGTGTCCTATCCACTTCCAGCGCTTTTTCCTCCGCTGGAATCTGGTTATAAAATAATCAGTATTGACAACTTCAATTAAATCTATATTTTTGAAGACATTACAACCTTGGTCGCTGACATACAACTTAGAAATTAGTTATCCCAATTTACTAGTCATAGAATGAATCTCTTCAAAATAAAATTTCATGTATGAATTATGCATCTGAAGTACGTTCTAGTGATCTTTGTACCCTAAGAGGACACAATAATTTATTATTATACCTTATAATTTAATTCGTCCATTTCATTCAGTTACAAAGATTATATTATGGCATAATATTAAATAATAACTAATAACAAGAACACATCTATCAAGATAATTTTATAAGGTGACTGTCCTCAAGAAGAGCGACTTGTACTGATCATAAAGCTAGCAAAAAATTAAACAATATCATCTATCATGATGTTATTTATCCAACATCCGAGAGAAATTGTTGTCCGTTGAATAGAATAATAGGTTGATAAACATTAAGGTGTTCAATCTGAACATTCACAGTATGATTAGATGGTCCTAGTTTGATTCGCATCATGATCATATTACACAAATATTTTACAGAGTTTTGCAAAAGTTCAGAAACTATTTCGTTGTGTTAGTGAATCATGATAAATTAATAATCCTTCTCTTAGGTGAAATAATAACTGGTTACAGATTCTTGATTAAAAATTAGATTATTGCCCTTAGTTTGTTTACTTCATCTAAACTAATAGTTATTACTGTTGAATGAATTTTGTATACAAGTTATTGATCTTAAATTCATTCGGAATTCGTGGACATTACTGCACGTTTTGGTTTGACTAGACGCGCAAGAAGATTAATCTTCGCTGGAGGTTTTAACAGTTTGAAAATGTTTCAGTAATAAATCGCTGTCTGCTGACCTTGATTATCCTTAGTTTGATGGAAGTAAATGTTGTGTACAGACAAGAAAGTAACGTTTATCTAGTAGTCCATCATTAAAGAGTTTTGTTTTATCAATGTTGAATGGGTAATAGAAAACACTCGAATTTGTAATTTTTAAAATTTTTAGTGACTGCGTTCCAGTAGCAATGAAAGAAGTCTACGTAGAATTTACTGAGTTAACAAGCGATATGCAAAGACAACTATGGGAAGTTAAGTAAGTTATAATAACAGAAAAACATGATTATTCTTTATAATTATGCTGGATTTAAAATTATCGATCACACGGTCCATGTTTATTGGTTTGATGTCAAAACCTGAAGGCTTTCAGTTTGATCTTATGTAAAGTCATGGATAAACGCTTTTAGTAAGCTTCAGACTGCAATAGACAACTGTTTAATGCACTTTGGTTATGGGGTTGATGTCACTTCACCATGGAGATCATCTTCAAAATAATTAAAAAAGCCACTATTAGATCTTGTTCCACGTAATCATATATGACAACAACGTAATCATAACAACCACAACAAAACTCGACCTAACAATAATGAAATCGAAATTCGATCTATCGTAAATGACATATAAGAAGCAGATTATAATTTCTACTTATCTCATTCGATGTCTAGTGGCTGATTTTACTTCATACGATATCCAAAAGTGGTGACATTAAGATTTTTTTATTCCCTTTTTCATAAGCTTAAGTACGTGTAGAAGGTTTTCAGGTTGAGATTAACTTTCATTAAAAATCAACTAGGGATCACTAGTAAACCAGAAATCCTTTAGTAGCTGTTTCGTCCTAGCCTGTGCATTTTTATTAGTTTACATACTACCTCAATGAGTTCTCACCGAGTTACTCAAAGTGAACTATTTCCAGACTCTTGAACAACCTTATTTATCAATGTTAGCTGACTTGACCCATGATCTTTTCTTGGCGAACGCTGTAAAACTAAAAAAAACTAGATATTTTAATTTCAAACATGTAATATATCAAACAGTGTAGTACAATGATATGTCATGTTGAATATTGTTAGAATTACATTGTTGAATTGATGCATTGAAGAGGAATAAACCGTAAAGTACTCTATATTCGATATTCTGATGAGCTAAACAAACTGTGCTTTCTTGATGTTTTTTATTGAGGCAAACAGTAAAAGATTGTTACTAATGTTACCAAGTTGAATTTTCCTTATGTATTTTACAGGAAAATGAAACATAATAATTTAGTGAAGCTCATTGGGGCCACATTTATATCACCTGTCTTATCATTATATACAGAGTTTTGTGATAGAGGAAGTTTGTGTTACGTACTTCGACGTGATTCTATCCCGCTAAGTTGGAGTTTAAGGTAAGTGTACAGTACAAATGATATATTTTTGAATAGTCTCACAAGACTAGAATAATATAGAACTTAGTTACTATGGAGCATCTCTAGTTTATTATTACATAACATTTATTAGTAACTTATACGAGCCAGCATTAATTAGAGTAGTTCAACATTATTAATTATGACTGTCTGACATATACTGAATATAAAGGTATTTACTACAAAAGTCAAATTTTTTAAAATTTCGAATGATTGCAAACTACATCTTAGATGATGAAATTTTCAGGATCAAAGCGAACAATTAATGCTTTCCATGAACAAGCTCATTAGTTCGGAAATTCGACGTTGAATATTCGATAGAGAATTCAGGTCATCATTGATTTACACCACTAGATTAGTCTCTAGCTTGAATGAAGAAATATAACTATGAATTTTCATATGAATCCTAACAGTTGCATGAACTATTTTGCATAAACAGAGTCTTGGATTTTGGGTATTAAAAATCAACTAGTATCAATGTTAAGTAGCATTCAGTACCATTTGAAGTAAAAGTTATTGACATCTAATTATAAAAATATGTATTTTGTTGAATATAAATTTGGTGTAATCTTCTTTTTCTTATACATTTCATTAAATAGAATAGGTTTTTTAACTGGTCTTGCTAATGGTTTAGCTTATTTACATCATTGTCAAATTGTACATGGTCGATTGAATTCATCAAATTGTGTGATTAGTGATAAATGGACATGTAAAATAACAGATTATGGATTAGATAATTTAATTTGGTCAAATGATTTTGAAAAACATAAAACGTTTTTAGATAAACCAGAAAATTTACCATATATTCCACCTGAATACAGAGGTAAGTGTTAAATCTATGAAGGTTTTATAGTATTTTTAATAATATCTTTAACAATACGGTATGGCGGGGTCGTGGATACCTACTGCTGAGGAGTCTCACAATAAGATGAAACCGCCATCCAGTGATTCCAGGTTTTCCATGATGGTCTAGCTTCAATTGACTCATGATCTCAACTACTGAAATTACTACAATCTCCACAAAACCCTTCTAATACTAATCAACATGTGCTCACTAGTGACTGGCTTCAAGATGTATATCCTGGAATTCTGGTGAGAAGCAGTGACCACTGGAGTTCAACCGGGTCGGTTGTGAGATAGTAACCCACTGATGACAATGGTGAAAGTGTCGCTCAGTTTTGTGGATTGGTTGAAGTTAGACATTAACACCGTTGGATACCGACTATCTAGTGGTCTACTGGTTAGGCGCTCGCACGCGAGACTGATAGGTCGTGTGATCGAATCTCGCGAGGCGGGATCGTAGATGCGCACTACTGGAGTCCCACAATAGGATGAAACAGTCGTCCAGTGCTTCCAGGTTTTCTGTGGTGGTCTAGCTTCATTTGATTCATGATCTCAACTACTGAAATATGATAACAGTTTGACTAAATCTACGGAAAACATTACTGCTGGGATGTGCTTTATTGGTTAATTTTTGGGGCATTTTAATTTCTTATTTCTCAGGGAAGTTAAAGTAAGGGTATGTTCAAAAAGTTTTAATTTATTATGACACTAGTTTATTTTGGAGGTCATACATACATAAGTCTATCCTCATTGTTACTATTTTGTAGCAAATGAACTTAGCTCATTTACATTAAAACAGTAATTCATATCTTTGAACTATAATACTCTCCTTGATAAGTTGAAAGGCGGGATAACTAAATGCTATGCATTTTGATCTTTTGGGTTATGTATATAATTACATTATGTATCATTATTTTGTAACACCTTATTCATTAATCTATATGAGTAATGAATAGGTATTTTCCAACCCTTATTATTCTTTAAGATCACAATTTTCTTCCATCTGTACCCTATTAGCCCTTCATTGTTTTACAGTATTTAATTGCTTTTTCATAATGAATAATACTTATGATTCTATCTTATTATACACTTATTTATGGTAAATAGTTGTGAATATGATTGAACAGATACGTTAAATGATATCGTTCAAATAGAAATGAGTATTAAAATCCGGAATTAAAGCGTATGGGAAATCGCATTTCATCCATCATAGGGTAGTTAAATAAATGTTGTTTGTCAAAAACACAGATACTATGAAAGGATGAACACTTGAATTGAATAGGAATAAGGCTTAGCTATTGGTATTGAACTAGAAATTGCTTGCTGAACATGCTAATCAGCTCCATACAACTTTTTAGTTAAGTGGAATTTCGCTAATTTGATTATAAAATTTTCGATACGTATTCATTTAACCTTCAATCGTCTGCATATTGAATAAAGCTCAGTGGTCTAATATCACTATTGTTATCCACCCATCTTAGTTATGATAATTGTTTCAAGAAGTTGGTCAGTTTGCACAACACACCTAAATATCATTCGAAACTTTATTCATGCCAAACCCTGAGCAGTTAGCATTACATATTGTAAGTCATGATATATTTGTATCCTAAAAACTTTGTTTTCATCCAATTTTGAAAACTTAATTAGACATTGTAAAAAGTGTTGTTAATGTAACGAAGTCTTTCTTTCTTTCTATGATAAGCTTATATTGATCATGACATTTAGCTTAATGTTGTAATGTTCGATGTTAATGATTTTAATTTCATTGTTGAAAATGCATCCAGTTAGCATCAGTTAAATAAATCTATTTCCAACTTTTTTTTCTTAGATTATAAAGAAACACTATTCGTGCCAGCAGTAGACATATACAGCTTTGGTACAATCATGTGGGAAACAGCAAGTCGTAGTGATCCGTCTCAAGTTAGTTTTAGAATTATTTATGTGGTACAGTTGTTGTTTATAAGATAAGTAGTAAGGAGGTTAACTAAAAGTAATACATTGTGATTTTCCAGTCGATTAAATCCAGGGACTTGTAAAATAAAATGCCAAAATGATTTTTCATAATTGAAAACAACTTTCAGTATTGAATAAATGCAATCTTCACAAGAGATGATTGTCATTATTTGGTCATTCATTAGGCCTTGAAGATGTGAATGCAGTGAACACCTTTTCATTGAACTGCAGAATTAGAAGTACAACAGCAGCAGCAAACTACCTAAAATGGGTTGCAAAACATTATATTCAAGAGGGTGATTAAAAATATCAACTATTGTAGGTCAATCTATTTGTATGATAGTTTTTCACACTTAATTTAACATGTTTGTTCTCTAAATCAGCATTATTTTTTTATTTGCTAAATTAGGATGACGAATTTGTGGCAGACCCAATGTATAATCACCCGGAATTGCCGACTAAAAGACGTTTTGAAACTGATGTTAAATACGAGGTTGCAACAGTACCGCCTTTTGAAGAATACAACAATGTGAGTTTTAAGTCAAATAATTCCGGAAAAATTATTTCCTCAAAAGGTGTAACTTTTCCATGCTTACACTACGGTTTTGCACTTTAAGGGATGCTGACACAAAAATTTGATTTCTTTTCATAAAATCAAGGAAAATATCATGAATAGACGGTTTCATTGAAAGAATTCGACAATTTGAAGATTGGCGCCACAAGTTACGTTGCCTTGAATGAACATTATGTATTTTACAATATCTTAATGTATGCTGAATTATTAAGTACTGTTTAACTTTTCTCTCTGCCACTTATGATATGATTCTGCTTATTGCATGATTTATTCTTCTAGGTGCTGTGCGAATTTCTCTTCGAATTCATGTCTAGAATGGAAGTAGAGTTGCGATAAGTAGATCGATAGGAGTGCAGCTCATCTCGACCTATTATTAATGGTGTTAGTCAGAACGTAACATTGGTCGCGTTTAGAATGCTCAGCTATAGATGATTTACAAACAAGAGGTAGAAAAATTATGATAGGAATTGTGGTTTACAGGTCGAGTATGTTATGATGAAAATCATCTCAAGATGTGGCGACTTACCTAATTGTTTATCTCTCCGATGATGATCTAATATTTTCCCCAATATTTGTATTTCACTTGCCTTAAGAAAACATCTGAGCTAGAGTAATTTAAACTATTCCATTTTTGAATACGCTTATTAGTAACTTGTTAACAGAACAAACTAGCCTGACGAAAATGTATCATTGGGAGTCTCATGACTTTCTGGGAAATATCTTGTTTTCTCGGAGACCTTAATTTCTTAAGTTTCAGTTTATTTATGAATATCAATCATCACAGCACATACCACTGCCTGTTCTGACGAGAATGTCATATAGTTTCATAAAGTCTCGTGGTTTGAATTAACTAAACTTCAAATCTGAGGTTGTGATTACTTTTTTGACAGCAAAATGTTTCATTATTGAAAGTGTTTTAAGTTCCACACAGGTTTGTCTCAAAGATTCATAATATATCAGTCACTAGAACAGTTCGAGATATTTTAACAATCTATAAGGATTGTGTTTAACTAGCTCCAATTACTTTGTTGCTTAGAACTTATGCACATATAGCGTTCAACCTTTTACAAGTCCTGTTGTGTGATTTGCAAGAAAGGAAGAATAGTATTTAAAGCAAACAGAAAACATCACTTTTCAGTATGGGCCATTGTGGTGTATATTGCTTATTTTTGCAGATATAAGTAGTATGTAACACCATTCGGAAGTGGAATGTCTGTGAACAGAAGGTTGAGAAGATTAAAATGAACAGAAGAGAGAACGAAACTAATAGCAATCAAGATAACAACAGGGACTAATAAACAATAAATTTGGTAAAAAACAATTCAAAGTAGTTGTGCAAATGATGTAATCGATGTATTATTTTCACTTTGTGATTTTGCATCCACCAGAGTTCTCGTTCACTACACTATCACTTAATTGATTTCATATAATAATCATGTGGTTATTGTTTAATTTGTCTTACATTAGTTGATGGAATCTTGTTGGAGTGAAATACACTTAGACCAAACTTAAGTGCAATTATAGAATGGTTGACAAAGTTTTATCCAAAAAATATTGGAGTTGATGAAGATACAATACTTGTAAGTAGTATCATTTGCCTGTTATAAGCGGATTATAATGTTATTATTGATTTTATCACTTTACAAATAAACAGTATATTTTAATTTTTCAATAATTGTTATTATTAGAGAGTTCAAGCGCTTGTCACAGTCATTTTAAAAGTTAACCATAAGGGAGATTGTTTAAAGAAAGGGTTTAAAATAATGCAGCACACTACTACGTTTCACGACAAGAATATTAGATTCTGTGGGGTTCAGCGTCTAAAAATGCTAAGCATTATTTTAAGTAGTATTGTAGTAAATGATCACTTGGGTGTTATAAATCGATTTATTGTTTTACGTAAGATCAAACAATGGGTTAGTAAAATATGAAAATCATACGTTAAACAAACCATTTGCACATCGTTTTTTGTTTTGTTCTTTAGATACTCTATTATTCCTCTAATTCTGTTGTTATTTCAATTACTCTCCGATTTTTCTTCTAATCCTCTTCATTTCAGTCTACCACTGCCAAGTATTCCACTCCCTACTGATGCTACATAATATTGATATCTGTCGGTATAAGTAGCATATACCATAATATGTCATATTTTGAAAATCTGTTATTACCAAACACAGTGTTATTCACTCATATGACAAACAAACAAATCTATAATTTTAGGTTTAACTTTTATAGTGAACTAATACCAGACAAAAAGTATTTAAGAAAAAGTTCACCATTAGACAGTTGTTCTGTCCTTATATGAATCGCATCATCAATGTGAATCTATGGTCTTACATAAATCGAATGAAAATATGCATTTGACAATTTTGTTACTTAAGTTGTTTTAAATAAAATAAAAATTGTGCATAGATTTATCGTTTGACAAATACGTCTGTTATTTCCATAACACCAGCGCCATAGAATTCAAATATTTTAAATGTTTTGATCAATTATACAGATGATAGAATTTATAAGTGAACATAATGAAATCACCAAAATTTACCATCATACAAACTAGACTAAGATGAATGATATTAAGACATATGAAACTTTATACAACACTAATGGACATTGAACTATTATTAAGCCTACATTGTAAGAGTGAATACAATAGTACTGATGAGTACCATTTCATAAAAAAATTATGTAACTTGATAAAACAACTATTTTTATGGCTTTTATCACGGACTAAATGTCGTTAGATAAGTATCATGCATAAGAAGCACTGAGCGACTGCTACATTTTAATATGGGGTGCCCCAGTAGTGTACATTCACGACGCCACAGAAAACCAAACCTAGAAAATTCAAGTCTTGAGGAGAGCGCTTAACCTTTAGACCAATAATCTGGCATCCAGTGGTCTATATGTTTAAGTTCAATATTTTTGCGATATCATACTACTATCATCCAATGTCTCCGATGAATAATCGTTTCGCACCTGAAATAATTTATTTTCAGTGGTTACGGGTTTTAACTGAAACTCATTGAATTAACTTCTAAAAGTAATCGCTAGAGAGCTGGTGTGGGGGTTTGTGGAGATTATCACGTTTTCACGGTTTGGAGTGCTTCCTAGATTTCAATCATTGTTATGTAAGCTGTGAAATTTCTTCAGTGTCCATAAAGCCCCCTGTACCAAAAATAATTGTTTTCCTTTTGTGTTAAATTTTCTAACTACTCATGTTTGCTTCCTTTAATTTAAGACGAAAGAATATGCTAAATGTCTTGAATCTATTATTGAAGATAGAACACAAGCGCTTCGTAGTGAACAAAAAATGGCAGACACTTTACTTAATAGTAGGTTGAACATTTGTTTTGGGGGCTAATATATACATGTATATCCAGTGGAGACTATGTTTATATGATAATTTATTATTTAATTGTACATAAACTATAGACATAAATCATGTGAATTTTTTATACCATTCAAAATTCAAATATGATAAGCTTTGTTAACTTTTGTGATCTTATTGAAATCAAGGACTGAATATTCATGAATGGGACTATCCAATATATAATTGCAGTGAAGTTTCTCTGAGACTGTACTTAGATGGAAGTTAAAGACTGACCATAAAAGTTAATGATCACAGAACAATAGAAGTTTATAATCTACAAAGTTTTAAATGAATTATTCATTTTACTTAAGTGTTCTCCATTAAAATGTTTGATCAAACTACTGTTAAAAACATTTATATTTGTAGAATTTAATAGTCTATCGTTTACTATGCTTAATTCTACTGTCATACATCGTAATGGTAAAATAAAGTCTTTATTATCTATAAAGATATGGTATCAATTTTCAATACAACATGGTTCGATCAAGGCGGCCTGCTTAAATATCTGAGCTACCTGTTCCTACCATCTGAATATTTGAACAAGTTATCTGTTTTCTTGTTTGTTTTGACACAACATTATGCATATTAGTCGGATAACCTATTCAGGTGAGTTTGTGAAATGTTTACAACATTTCGCTGCACAAGTTACAAAAAAGCTCAATCAGAGACATCGCAGTTGCTGGAAATATGCATCGAAAAGAATATACGTTAATAAGATGTCGATTCCTGAACTGCTAACATCTAACTACTTACCACTCAATCTTTATCGTCAATATCGATCAAGAAATAAGAAATGGAAACTCGCTGAAATACTTTGTGCTGAGAATTCTATAATGTACCAAAAACATAATATTTAATAAAGCCGTTAATAAAAATAATAACCTGTTTTACCATGCAGTTGTCATTGTTTGAATATTGGCACAACATAATTGTCACTTTTGCTTACCATAAAATACTTGCAGTTTACAATGTTTTGTATGTTGTAAGATAAATGAAAACCTAATTATTTCACAGTTACATATTAAAGGGGGGATTCATTTAACTTAAATGTAGTATAAAATAATGATATTGTTATTGGTCTAGAATGTTACAGAATATATTGCAACTGAGTGAAATATTCATTATTCCAAGTTCATTAAAACACAAGTATGGATTCTGAACGATTAAATTTACTGATTACTTTTAAGTGTAATTAGAGCACAGTTGCTAGAATTGGGTTAATTTATAAATAACCTTCGTTATAGTGGTTCAAAGCAACCATTTAGATTTGTCGAAACCTCCATACAAATAAATGTAATCCTTCTTGTCTGTTCGATAACATATTGTATTAACAGTTAATCTACGCAGGAGTTCGATAAGCATGTTCTTATAACACTATTTAAGAATATGTGTATCATTTGATCTTATTGATCAATATATCTTTATATAAAACGTTCTTGATGTTCACAGTGTTGTGTACTTCAAGTTCTTAAATTATTCTAATAGCTTATCTAAAGTTTAAATTCACTTGGTTTTGTGTTACTTGAATCTTCCCATTGATGATTAGGACTACAATCGATCAGTCTCTTATTGGCATATTGTCTCGATATTGCCTTAATTCACAAGCACTATAAGCAAACGTGTGTTCTGGATTCCACTGCTAGCAACTATCCATCTTTGCTTATGTATCTAAAGTTTATTTAGTTAACTTTATTGGTTACATTCCCACGTTTTAAAATCCTTTATTCATTTTTATAACAACTTTTTTCACTATCTATCTTACTTTAGGTATGTTACCAAAACAAGTTGTAGAAATGCTAAGACATGGTGAGAATGTACCGCCTGAAGCATTTGAACAGTGTACAATATACTTTAGTGATATTGTCGGTTTTACCACAATTTCATCAAGTTCTACACCATTTGAAGTAATAATTTATTTATTAATATAAGAAATAGTTATTTAAATTATATCCGTGTATGTAACTTTATTGGCTTTCGGTAAATTTTGAATGGTTGAACTTACATATGTGAAATACCATCAAGGATCTTTCATTATATATGCACAATACGGGTTTGAAAAACAATGTTGTTAATGTACTAGATAGATCATATGGAATTCATTAGTGTCCTTTTCGAAAGTCAATGGTAACCAGTCATCTAACCGGTTAGAAAGATCAAATAATCTTCATCTTGGTTACTACTACCAATCTCCTAGAAAACGGTGTTCTCTCTACAAAGAATGTTCATAAATAATTAACTAGAACTGAGAAAATTGCTTGACTGGCAAGTATTAATTAGCGGGAGATATAGATTTAGAGCATTCAATCAGTTTATCTTAACCACTTAATACTAAACTAACTCCAGTGATTAGTGCTAAGAATTCTTGATCAACTTATCATAACTATTCTTCTTCAACAATATTCAAGTATTATTGTGAATTACAGATTAATAGCACTTTGTAAATAGTAGTTTGGAACCATGTACACTCTGATCTTTCCTGATTTTTCTTCTATCTTTATGCATCAGTTGCATTCATCTAACCAGTGATTTATGTATCAAAACAATGATTATTTATTCTTACTTGTTTTAAATAGACACGATAGTTCTGTTTCATTTTGTTATTAAAACACAATGTTCATCTCACTGGAGTTTTGTTAGATTAACTACCTGTAATTATATGAAAAATCCTAGTGATTATGGCTATTGGAGATAACGAAATAGACATATCTGAAAAATATTCCATCTTTTAATTGTATAGAAATCAAGAATTTCCATCAAATTACTAATATTTTAATGGTTGAGATCATGAGTCAATTGAAGCTAGACCACCATGGAAAACCTGGAAGCACTGGACGACCGTTTCATCCTATTGTGATACTTATCAGCAGTGCTCACCCACGATCTCACCATTCAGTGCTTTCAGGTTTTCCATGATGGTTTAACTTCAGTTGACTCATCTTTAGTCAATTTTTAGTGAAAATTGATTAAGAAATAAGTTAGGGAAGTTGTTAAATCAACTTCACTAATGTATAGATATGTAATTTGTTAAATAAAACTTATTTCCAGGTTGTAGAATTTCTAAACAAACTGTATACTCAATTTGATGATATCATTGATCGATACGACGTTTATAAAGTGGAAACAATTGGTGATGCATGTAAGTAATGATTTTTTGTAACAATTTTATTGTTGACTACATATTAGGTATGTAATTGTTGGAAATCTAAAAAGCAAACACAAATCTGTCATATTTCTTTGACACTTCCTAGAACTTTTATTATGTTGCCTTGAAATGTTCCATTCCAGGGTTACTGTGGTAAGTTTCAGTTAACTGACGTTGAGTATCTTCCCTAGTAATATCAGGACGATTTTCTCTTGAGTTAATATGTTTGCTTATTTTAATCGTGTTGTCTGAATATTCAGGTATTAGTTGAGTAGAGAAACGAGATGGAACAAGGGCTTATTGTTCTATGGAAGGATGAATTGGTCAGTTTTTAGATTTCTGTCAAGATTCAATCTTGAATTACAGGTTCACGGAGCATATTAATATATAATTCCTAGTTTAAGTAAAATAATTGGAATCTGAGCACATATAAATTACGATACATAAAAGTGAACGAAATGAGACTTACCTTAAATGATTTTGTCATTCCCATTTACAGAATTTCACCACTGAAGGCAAGTAAGAGAAAAAGGAATGGTTAATAAGATCAATAAAGCCTCAGATTAATCTTTTCACTCTAATGTCATTTATTAAACAGATATGAATTATTATCATACTAACTCATCATTAATAAATTCACTATGAATCTCTTCGGAAGATCAGACGGTTAGATTTGCTTAGATGTTCTCTATCTACTCGTTTGAAACTCATCAGAGTATTTTTTATAGACAGTCAAGCGTTTGAATTTACTCTAGAATCTCTTGAATGTCACTTTTTCAGGTTTAAAAAACAGGCACTGTTTTTTATCATTATTTTAGATATGGTTGCATCAGGTGTTCCAAGAAGAAATGGTGAACGTCATGCGATAGCAATAGCTGATATGTCACTTGATCTAGTCAATGTTTCACACAGTTTCGTAATTCCTCACAAACCTGAAGAACCGTTAAAAATTCGAGTTGGTTTACATTCAGGTAAGTAATAATACGGTAGGTGTTATACATCACAAATCTATTTTTTTAGATAAAAATATAGTAAATTTTTAGGACTACTGAAGTCTAAAAAAACTAACAAACTCTAGTTCAATCTTTTATTACTATTGGTCAGTATGATTTAGTAATATACTTCTTAGCCTGATTAATTATAGTTTAATAGGCTAATATATGGATTTGTACATTTAATCTCAGTTACACAAACGTTTTTGTTACAAGGCCATATGAACATTGATATCATGGCAAAGAGGTGACCTATTAATACTAAAGTAATTTCACTAAAGATATTGAAATTCTTCAGTAATTAATGAAAGTAATAGCGTCACTTTATCAATGTTACAAGTAGGACTGTTCACAGTTTCCACTTGTCAGGAATCATTTCACTGGTTGAAACGAAGAAAACTATAGATTCGCATTTGTTAGTTGAGATCTGAATTTAGATTTCCTGAAGTTCAAGTTATTTTTGTATTAGTTGTTTGAATCTTCCCCACTGGTATTCAGAACTGTAATCCATCCGTCTCTTATTGAAATATCTGCATTCTGTGCGGATTGCCTCGATATTGCCTGAAGCCACAAGCATTGTAAGCAGAGATGAGTGGTGGCTAGCATTTGAATACAGGATGAGCGTTTCGTCGGCTGGATGTACCTGCATCTCAGAGTTGATGTTCAACTCCGCTTATAATGCTTACGAGTTGAGGTAATATCGTGATAATCCTAACAGAATGTACATAAACCAATAAGTGACTGGTCAATCACAGTCCTAAACAACAGTTAGAAAGATTCAAACTACCAATACAAAAATGAATTAAACTTTACCTCATTGCACACGCTAGTGGCTGTCTGGAGCCAGTATCTAAATGGATAACGCAATGACGTTTTAAACAAACGGTAATGGGTTTGAGTCATATGACAAATATATCATTTCTATTTATTTAGCTAGCTGCCTCAATCGTAAATGAATACACAACAGTCATTTAACTGAACTGTTATGCAAATGCTTTGAAATCTTCGAAACGATGTGAAAACTTATACAGCCTCTGGAAAGACACTTTGTATTTTTACTGTTAGAGAGTGAACTCAGTGAATATTCTCAACTTGTATAGAAAGCACATTGAATTCGATTAAAAGAACCCAACTTTAATAGGTTTTATTACATAAACGACATGTTCCTCGTAAAATAATCTCAAATTATCTGAATAATCCTATCGATATCAGTCTCCTCACTCTTGAATTTGATTATTACACTTGGTTGGGGTTAGCATTGTAACTTTGTTTTTCAAGGGTTACTAGGAGGTTTTTAATTCAAAATTATGAATAAAGCAGCTTACAGTTTGAAAGACAGCTTTGAATTTGTACAAAAACTTGATAACCTTAATGTCTCTGACAAATTCATGGTTTCATTTGATGTCTCTTCGCTTTTCACAAATATCCCTTGGAAGAAACGGCAGAGATCATATGTGAATATCCAGAACTCCTGCCTTTACCACCCCAGGAATTTAAACAGCTCCTGTTTTTGTGTACAAAAAACATACAATTTAAATTTAACAATGTTCTGTACCGACAGATTGATGGAATAGCAATGGGCAGCCCTCTAGGCCCAATTCTTGCCGACATATTTATGGGACATCTGGAACAAAAGAAATTGAAGCACGCAATCGACAGTACCACACTCTACTGCAGATATATGGATGACACGTTCCTTGTCTGCAAAAATCACCAACACTCCATGTACCTACTTAGTCTGTTCAATAAAGTCCACAAAGATATAGAATTTACCATGGAACATGAAGTTGATGATAAATTCCATTTCCTAGATATTGGAATTAGGCGAACATCAGATGGCACACTACAAAGACACATTCACCGCAAAAATACTTGGAGCGGAGTTTATCTCAACTTTAATAGCTTCTGTCCATTGAGTTATAAAAAGGGTATTGTGCGAAACCTTTTTGACCGCGCACGAAAAATCTGCTCAAAAGAATGCCTCGAAGAAGAAATTACTACAATCACCAAATGCTTACGTGAAAATGCATATCCGGATAAATTCATCCACAAATATGCTAATACAAACCCTCCGATTAAGCATGATACAGTTGAAAAGAAAACCTGCTTCCTATCCTTACGCTTTAAAGGAGATGAAGTCGCCGGAATTATCAATCACAGAATTAATTCCGCCTTAAAAGTGACCTACCCGGCAGCCAAACTAACTACGTTATGGAAAACATACTGCTCACTGAAACAAACGAAAATCGACAAGTCCTCTCCCCTCAGTTGCTCCAACTGCATTTACCAATTCACATGTACGTGCCGTAGCACATACATTGGAAGAACTGAGAGAAGAGTACAGGTTCGCATTTCTGAGCATATTCCGAAGAACTTGACGCTGCGAGGGACTAAAGCTTTTAACAGTGCAATAGCTCGGCATCTACTTGACACCGGGCATACCGTCGATATTATGCGCGCGTTTAAAATCATCAATAGACAAAAAACTACTACCACTCTCCGCTTTGCTGAAGCCATTGCAATTAAGAAACTGAAACCGGACTTATGCATCCAAAAAGAGACTTTAATAAACTTATCACTACCCTGGTAATCTTTTTGTTTCTGTTTGTTTTGTGTTTTGGTTATTTTATTCCTTTACTTATTCTAAGATAATTTATACCCCCCCTATTACCTAATTTTTAAAATAAATTTTATTCACACATTTCCACCACCTGATCCTCTTAAATCATCTTAACTTTCCAAACCCTATTTAATTATTATTACGTAATCTACCTTATCATTATTTAATTCCATTAATCTCTACAATTATCACACAATTTATGAACTTCACTAAATTATTACACCACCCACCCTGGATTAACCCCCCTCTTTTGACCTCTGACCTGTTTCTAGCATATATATATATATAGTTATTATTGTAATCAAGTTATTTACACTCATTTATGTCAATTGTTTCACACTATCTCCATGTAAAAATTCTATCACAATTTTGGTTTGTAAGCAGCTGACGAGAAACCTCGAAATAATATGAATTCATACTATTCTGCATCAATGTTTGTTCTTGCTCTATTTAAATTGATAAAGGGAAACAATTGCATGAAATTTCTCAAAAGCTTTCGTTTGTTTTAATTTTAAACTTTTGATCTATCGTTTGAAAAATATGTAGCCTTTGAATTGTTAAATCAATAGAGGAAAATCTTGACATCAAAGTTACGACAAGTGTATTCATTAAACTATTTTCCATAAATAATATGCTTATCAACTCTCTATTCATAAATAATTGACGGTACAATTATTGAATAATGTTCCGAATGTAGCGATACATAAACTTTAGTATTTGATTCTTGCATTATGAAGATTCATATTATAACTAAGAAAAGACTATCCACTGAATAATTGATTAGTTTTACGCAAGTTTCTACCTTGACACTGTATGCAAGTTGATTTTATTAGAAAATCATAAAAACACTCTTGAAATGAACTATTTTTGAAAATAAAGGTACTAGGTATCGACAATTCAGTCAGGGTTTGTGTATTCTCGATGAAATATATTTACCTTGGATAAAAACTATTTTGTCCTGTGAACATTACACCAGTTGATCAGTAGTTAGCAATCAGTATCTTGTTATTTGATTCTTTGTTTTGAACGTTATATTAAGGTCATATTTGTGAATTCACCAGTAAATTATGCGACTTGATACGGTATGGTACTTTGTTTGAGATGGAATGGTTGGATATAGGCGACAAGAAATGACGAATTCAATTTCAGTTCTTTTTATGATCAGTCATTAGATTTTTAAAACTTAATGAACATCAGTCATGGCAAATTGGAATACGATGCTCCAGATTTTCTATCAGTTTACTCTAACAACTCAACATTATACGAAGTGTCTTAAAATAATTCTTTTCTCAACTAAAATTAAGTCAGCAATACAGAAGTTGTAAAATTAATTTAGGTGCCAATAGGTAACCTGTTGAGAGATATGGTGTGATAGCTAAATGAATTCCATGGGAAGCAATAAATGGATCAACAGTTGGTTTACAAGCTTATTCTTTCGAATGATGACTTTATTCTGAACCTTTAACAGAACTGTTATTTTCGATCTACCTGACTTATCAATTCCAAATATACATGAATATTTAATAATTGTTTCTGTTTATTATTTTTAACCACACAGCTACCCCATAAACCTTGTATAAATTGTTTTGTTGACAGTTGCTTGAATCATGATTAGGTCGTACACATATTAATCTATACCATCTAATATTTTCCATCTTTAATAATTATAGGTCCAGTATGTGCTGGTGTTGTTGGTTTGAAAATGCCAAGATACTGTCTTTTTGGTGATACAGTCAACACAGCAAGTCGAATGGAAAGTACTGGCGAAGGTAAATTTATTATTTCGATTTACTGTATTCCAGTTAAGTGGTGCCTTTAAATAGGTAAATCATGAAAAAATAAGTATGAGAAACAACAAACTTTGAAGGATTCTTTCCTCATAAAAAATCTTAAGTGAATTATGATATAAGGATACTGTGGTTTCCAAAGTATCATAAATAAAGGAATAAATGCATCTACATATAAAATTCTTTTGAGAGGTCAGACTGGTTTTCTTAAACTGATAACCTAATCCCACACAAAATCCAATACTCTAATAAACATGTGTACGCAGGTCAAAACTGAAAATCTGTTGGAAGACAAAAAGTGAATGGATCTGGACTACTGAGATCGATTCTGACTAATATCGTCCGATGTCTCCAGTCATTCGTTATTATAATATTCTGGATATCAACCAAGTATTCTTCATCTACCTAAATCCAGCTGTTAATGACCTCCTGGACTAATGTTACATTTTGATTTGGCCCCCCTAACTTCCTTTTAACTTCTAAACCAGCAAAAATCATGTGTTGGATTAAAGAGTGGTTGGATATACGCAATCTATGTCCCGATCACATCAATCAATTTCCCTCCCTTACCTAGTTTCTTACTTCTAACATCAGCATTGCTCACTCACTGACCTTAACATGCATTAATCAAAGTGAATTAAACAGATCTTTAGTCAAAAGCTGACAACCTAACAGTGTCTATTTCTAAAAGCCACGTTTCATGGCCATTAGTAGCATTATAATACATAAAGTAATACAAACAAAAATAAGCATGATTACATGTTGTAAATCAGTCACTCGTAAATTAAGACTTGACTATTGGGATACTCCGACCTATATATACATATATATGTATATATATATGTATATATGTATATATATATATATATCACATTACGTAAGTGGTAGAAGAAAATTCTATAAGGTAGTCGGTCGCAATTAACAAGATAAAACGAACATGATCATACATTTACTTACATTAATTGACCATTGATTTGCAGCTAATGCCAAATGATCTTTTTCTTACTGATCTAATTTTAAAGATCATGTTGTAACGTGGTAAATGGTTTAAGTGACTTGATATCATGGTGCGCAACAAGATCAGACATGATATTGATTACTGTCATGTAATCCATTGCTGCTTACATGTCAAAGGTAATGTTTTTTACGATAACACAGTGTGATACTAATTTATATTCTGCAGGAAGCATCAGTTGCCTCAAAATTACGAATTTACTAATATGACCTAGTGTACATAGCCTTCAACTATCAAATTAATTGGTCTGATAATTTAGTAATCATTAAATGATTATTATAGTTATGATAGACTTGTAATTTGTTTTTTTTCTTGCTGCGGAATAATGATCGCTAGACGAAATATATTACTAACGAATGTTATTGGTGTGTTATTTAGAGAAAGCATATGTCACTGGATTTCGCAAAGTTTATTCATTTGTAGAATTTTTCCGGCATAACCAAGCGTATTTCGTTTTATTTTTTAATACTGATAAGCTTACAAAATACACTGTTCAGAAACAACACACGCTATATTGGATCGACTTGGTGGTTTCACTTTTGAAAAACGTGGTACAATAACTGTGAAAGTAAGTAGAATAAAAGAAATGCTTTTAATGTTCCTCTTTTCCAATCGGTTTATATCAGTAACCAGATTGGGCGGTCTATCACTGTTATAGCTTTGGAGTTCAGTTAATTACCTGATACACTCTTCAGTCGATAATCTGACATATCTAAAAAGAACCAGACATATGCCAAAATAAAGTTTTTTGAAAGAGTCATTTATACAATATGAATAGTTCCTTATACGTGATATCTCAGATATATCTCTTTGCACTTTTTGACTAATCACAATTCACTTCGGTTGAATAAATCATAAGTGATGGCCCTTTCATGACAATAAGCAAGTGCTGAAATGCCATTATTGAACACAAGACTGGGTCTGTGAATTTCGAAGTAATACTTTACTTAGAACTTCAGGTTATTTTAAAACTGAATTAAGTGATGCCGATATTTGAAACTATTATTTAAAACTTTCATCACGAAATTAATGACAAATTAGCATATTAGTGTTGTATGATCAAGCTCAATATGTTTATAAAACGAGTGTCATACAGCAGCGCTCTATGTTTTATAATAATAATTTAAGGCCTGGAAACTCATGAAGGTTGACTTTTTATAATTGCATCCTATCCCTCACATTTTAAGATTCACTTGTGCTAGTTAGCATCTCGAATATTATCAAACCTCTAATAGTAACCATTGGGAACCGGTGAAACGTTTCTAAATTTATGTACAAACTTAATGTCTTTTCTTTATTGAAAATGAAGAGCAGTGTCTATTATCGTTAGTATTTGTTTTCAGGAGTTAGATCACTTATAACACAGATCGCCATTAAAGAAATCATATTTCGATGCGGAACCTCAAAATATATTAATAGCTAGGTATGGATACTCTCACTAATATCAAAATAAGTATTTTACATTCAAGTACGCAAGAATTTGTAGAGTGAGATTCTACTAGTTGTGAACACACATATTTTAAACCAGTATCCAAGTATTCAACATGGTATTATTTAACGGCTGATCAAATTAGAAATCATAATTAGTTTAATCTTCAGTCTACTAGATCAACAGTATTATCTACCACAATAATCATTTATCATGTCAACTCACTTCATTCTAAAAATGAATACGAATTAACTGATGAACAAAATCCCAAACATAACTCATTATGCCTTATGTTTACGTTTCATTGGTAAACAGATACTTTGAAGGTTATCAATACTTATGCGAATTGATTTGCTAATAGAAACTCCTTTTCGAAGAGCCTTTACCGGTTGCATAAAAGAAATTCTTCATTATAAGCACTTAATGAATGATTATATCTATCTCTAGTGAGTTCTGCAACATAGATTATTTTAATAACATTTGTCTTGTTATAACCACTTATATAACATGATACATTTCGTCTCTTTATTCAAGGGAAAAGGGGATATGCAGACATGGTGGATCACAGGACGTACTAGAGCTGATTTGGCGAAAGATTGCTGCCCACTGCCACTGAACTGGAAAAAAAGACTGAAAAAAACAGAACCTTCAAACCAAACTGAGAATCCATGACAAAAATAGCATTCATACCATTCATGGATTGACGAAAACTTAGGAAGATCTTGTAAAGTGTTATATACCATATCGAATCTTCAGATTATATAAAATTATATTATTTATGGTGCTGAAAAGAGTATTCGCCACAGTTCATGCATTTTAATTTTGACATCTTTAGCAAGCATTCTCATTATGTCTTGAATAATGAATCCTACAAAAGCAACTGACTATTAAATTGTTGTCTCGGTGTTTTGAACTACTAACAATTTAAAAGTAGCATAATAACAATTATGCAAATAGTGTTGACAATTTGAATGCTGGTGTTATCTCAGTTTAAATGAATTATTCTTTTTAAAATTGCTTTGAATAAAATAGTGGTAGAAAATATTGGATTATCATTGTTATTCTTCAAATGCTACGTGTAAGACAATTTGTGGATGATATGTTATCTGTTCACTTAACTAATCTTATTTACCATATGATTGTTATAGTGTGTTTATCCAGTTTTCTCAGATTCATCTTTGGTACAAGAATTGAGCTAATGATCTGCTATTTCTTATATGATCAGCCCACGTTTTAGTTACATTGGTTATCTTTAGTCTCAGCTAATGTCTTTTAGATCAAACCCACTTACTATAGAAAGGAATTTTCCATAATTCTGTTCTAACTACCACAAAGGAGTAGCTGAATTTTGAACTCTCTATGTTGTAATAAGGACTGTAAATGATAAAGATAGATCTAGGCCACAGACTCAGCAATAAAATTCTCTGAAACATGGGATAGAGTGAAGGAAAAATATCGCAACTGAATTTATATTTGGAATTCATAACTTACTTTTCAAAAACACGGATTTGGTTTTTCAGCCTACCCTAAAAATTTTCAACTTCATGAAGTGATACTCATTGACAGCCTTCTAAGGCCATACGTATGAAATATCTTGAAAATCATGTTGAATCCTTTGAGTTTCTAAATACAAAAGATAAGGTTCTGGAAACCACATAAGTGCTATAGAAATGCTGACTTGCATCAGTGTTTTTAGAAGATTTTAACTTTTTTCGGTTATTTATTCTCTGAAGAAGTGGTTTGCACTGAGTCCCGAAAAGTCAGAAAATCTAATTTTATCGTGATGTTTTCTGAGTTTTCTTCATAGTATACACTGAATCAAAGCCTCAACATGTACCAACCTTTGTGATGGTTGGTAGAAAACATATTTTTATTGGCTGCATAATGTTATGATAAGACATAATTCACAGCAGCACAGTGTATAACCTCCTAATGTACGACATTAATGACTTATTTGTTTACCAAACTCCTAAAGACTAAGTAGCGTATGAAACCCTCAAGCACTGGGAACTTTGAGACTATACTCGATCACTTAGTTAATCATAAGCGAATAATTTCTAAAGACTGGTTCATATTGAAAATTATTATTGAAAGTCCTCATTATTTTTAGAAATTGTCTTAAACAACGTTATTTAGCAGGTTTGATTTCATTTTGCCTTATTTTAATAAAAGTATAAATGGTACGATCTATGTTCTATTTTAGAGATAGTGAAATGCATATGTATATAAACAATCAGATGTTAAGAGACTTAATATGATTTGAATCGTGTATCTCTCAAGAATTTCCATAGTAGCCACAATGTCACCTGAAGATATTTGATTTGACTGTTTGTTAATAATTGTATAATCATCAATTGATTTACTAATTTAAAAAGCTTTTCTTCAAACTGACTCACAATCATGTGATGGTTTGTTGTTTTCTTCATCAATTGATGCATTTGATCTATGTCAATCTGGTTATTTAGTAAACAATATTCAGCCTTTGATTGGCTGACTTTTATGATACTTTTATTTCATATTTTCGTTGAATTTAACTATTGTTAAATACATCTAAGTATAAAAAATATCTACGTTTATGGACGAAATACCACATAGATTGTCGATGATACAACTGTAAGTATTTGAAAATCATTAAACCTTAATGTTGATAAGTGACTTATTCAGTAATTGTGGACATTTCTTAGTTAGTCAGTGATATACCTTTGAATATTTCAGTTGTGTCTTATTCTTTTATTCATTTCTTTCTTTCATTGAGTAAAATAATGTTTGGAATTCAAAATCAGTAATGTATTTAATATGTGCCATTTCATTCTGAAAACACTTCCTGCGATTGATGACATGGAAAAAGGGTGTATTATCTGTCAGCTTTGGTTAATTTGAAGAAAATAAACTTTGACCGTCAAACGATACATTCATTGCATAGTTGTAAATCTGGATGCCTTTAATAGTCACTTTCTTCAACTTTATTATTTCTGATTGAGATCACGTATCAATGAATGTTAGATCATGGTTGATAACCTGGAAGCACTGGACAGTCGTTTCGTCATAGTATGGGGCCGCTCCGCAGTGCGCATCCACGATCCCGCACGCAGGACTTGAACCCAGGACCTCTGGTATCGCGTGCAATAGCTTGTTTATGTCCATACAATTTACCAAGACAGGCTATAGTCTCGAGTGCTTAGAATCGAAATAAAGGGATAAAAACAGTATTCTGTTTTGTAAGTTTGATCAACCATAGTTTTAATGGAGTCGGTTTACTATTAGAAAAGGTTACTGTTGATGAGAGGCCATTCATATGAATTTATATCACACAAAGTTGCTAATCATTATACCAACCGGTCAAAAGTAATACATTTAGTTAGGACAGTAGTAATAGTTGATGGTGACGAGATCATATAGATTTCGAAGTTAAAGTAAAACAGTAGTATATGATATTAACAGATGTTAGTCATCGTATATAGATATAGTAACCAGTGAATCCCAGATCGATCGGTTAAAGTGAGACATTCGGAGAGAGTTATGGTACTTTTGAGTCTATCTATGGCCCAGTTGGGAGGACGGTATAAATTTTAAAAGTTCTGAATTCGAAGAACCAATTGTAAACTCTAATTCTTTTAGTGATTTCCTAACTGATATCAGTCTGTGATGTTAACCATTTCGAGACTAAACCAACCCCCACAGACTGTTCGTCTAGGAGATGAATTTAATGTTAATTCAACTTTAAAAGAAAATATTCTTCGGTTTTTTTCCATTTTAGGGTATTATTATTATCATTATTACTATATCATAACTAACTACAGTTTAAAAAATCTAAATTAATTTATAATGATATATTACATTGCCGCCTTAAAAGCGAAAGTCATAATTAATAAAAATGATATGCTTGTTCACTAATAACAGTTCATAATATTATGATAATTTATTGAATATTCGATTTCATCACTCTTCGTGTTTGTCATTAACTTGTGTAGACATGCATGTATGTATATATTTGTATGATAATTATGGCCAACAAGTTGGTTGTAAGGTCTTTGAATCTGTATGGGGTTGTGGAGTTTGTTATGCTTTTGGTTGAAATCATGAATCGATTGATGTTAGACGACCACTGAAAAACCGAAAGCACTGGATAGCCGCTTCGTTCCAGTATAGGACTCTTCAGCAGTGAGCACATACGATTCGAACCCAGGATGATCTCAATCAAAAACTTGACAATCTTCACAACTGCATACTATGTACTCATTAGTGACTAGCTTCGTGAGAGAATTCTCGGAGTTTTAGTGGGAAACCATGACCAATGAAACTAATCCATGTGAGGCAGAGATAGGTATCTCCTTCAGTGCTATGTTTGAAGCGATTACGAGTTCACTCAGTCTGCGAACCGAACAAAGACTCTGTGGCCAAAGACTAATAAGCCAGCTATTGTGATGCGTCCCAGAACCGCTAACCAGAAAGAGAAGTCCAAGTTCGAAATGCGGAAACATATTCCACAAGCAGCCAGAAGCACGAGTGACCGCGACAAGTCTAGTCGGTGACACACTCATTTATATATTGGTTTGTACACCAATTTTTGATTTATAATCAGAATAAATCAAATATATGAAAAATACTTCATACAATAATATCGTATGTTATACAGAATAAAATGTTATGGGGGAAAACAGTAACAAATACTATACTGAGTGATCATCAAATTGAATTAAATAGAATTCATTTTGAATAAAAATCATAATGAGTAAATAAATCTAATTCCGACTTTTCATCACGACAACTGAAGATGCCGCTTCAGTGGTCTAGAGGGTCGCGCGCGGGAGTTACGTTCAATCCAGTACTCCCAGTATGTATATATATATATATATATATATATATATATATATATATAGGTCCACCAGGGTGCTTGGTACCTGTGTGGTTGCGCCACAGGATTGAGCTGTACTATTCAGATTGTAGCGTTAAAGCCTGTACGGTGTCTGGTTACCCTGTTAAACAGGGTTGAGCTGTACTGTTTGGGTTGTCGCGTGAAAGTCCGGATGGCGTCTGGTTCTGCTGAAAACCAATGTAAAATTACCTTGGCCCACAAGGGTATATTATATATATATATATGTGTCTATGCATTAGACTGGGTGTATCCATCAAGAAGAAATGATATACAATAATGTATGTATGTGTATTATCCGTTTAGTGTATAAGTACACTTTGTATTATCAACAATTTAAACTGATAAAAATCGATTTATATTCAACCAATCTCATTCATTATTATAATAATAATAATCATAAATGTTCATTTGTTCATTAACTCCATCTAATTAAACAATGGAAATTTATTTATTTCATTATTATTAAAAATATCTATTTATCCGTTTCAATAAAAACTTTCTTTCTAATTTGATATGTGAAATTAGTATCATACAGCACATTCTTCAGTGATTATAGCAAACACCCAACAACACCAACAACAAAAACACCAACAACAACATCAACATGTTAGCACATTCTGAATTTGCTGATATTTTAATAGAACAATCTAAATTATTTCATCAATTATATCATGAGAATTTAATGAAAATGACAGCAAAATTAGATGATTTTCAAAGAATTCGTACATTAGGACGCGGTGGTTTTGGTCATGTTCTATTAGTACGTCATATTTATACTGATAAATATTTTGCATTAAAAATTTTATCTAAAATACAAGTTATTAAAAATCATCAAATTCATAATGCAATTAATGAAAAACGTATATTAGCTGCATGTAATTTTACATTTATTATACCATTATATTATAGTTTTAAAGATAATAGTAATTTATATCTGGTTATGGAATATGCAATAGGTGGTGATTTATTTACATTATTACGTAATATGAAACAATTCCCTAATGAAATGGTTAAATTCTATGGTGCTCAAGTGATATTAGCATTTGAATATTTACATTATTTAACAATAGTTTATCGTGATTTAAAACCAGAAAATCTTTTAATTCATTCTAATGGTTTTATTAAATTAACTGATTTAGGTTTTGCTAAATTATTACCTAAACATAAACGTACATGGACATTATGTGGTACACCAGATTATATGGCACCAGAAATTATATTAAATAAAGGTTATCATCATTCGGTTGATTGGTGGGCATTTGGTATATTATTATATGAAATGACTACTGGTTATCCACCATTTATGCATTATGATCAAATGAAAACATTTGAATTAATTATTATTGGTGATATTAAATTTACAAATCATTTTAATCCATTATTAAAAGATTTAATTATCAATTTAATACAAATTGATTTAAGTCGACGTTATGGTAATTTAAAAAATGGTATCCATGATATTAAAAATCATGATTATTTTAAAGATTTAAATTGGTTACAATTATATCAATTGAATATTGAACCACCTTATAAACCATTATATAATAATAATAGTTTACAAGATATAAATCATTTTGATTATGATAATGAAATAAATTTCAATATTGCTGAAAAAGAACAATTTGAAAATAGTTTTGATGATTTTTGAAATCGTTTTCTCCTTGTTTCCATGGTTTCATTCAATTCCGATTTGTTATGGTTTAATTTATTGATATGAATTCTATTCATTGCTTAATTCAATGTTAATTATGTAATAAAAAGAGATAGAAAAAAAGAAAGAAAGAAAGCATAGTGTACAATATCACAGGTAAATATGATGTTATAACATAGTGAAGAGTAAACTTACAACATTGAAAATTGAACATAGTTAACTAGAAAATGAATTATTCTTTTTTCCTTATTAGATTATATCAAAATTAACATCCTATGTCATTGATAAATCATATACATACATCATTTACTTCGTTTACTATTTGATTAGCTTACTTATTTTCACAATACTTTTCTTATTTGACGTTTTCTTTAAGTTAATACAGAATGATCTTTTTTCATAAGCATTCTCAGAGATTCATTGAGTTTTTAATGTTTATATTACAGTTTGATGTAACGGTTGAGCACTCGTTTCGATGCCTGAAGATGCTGAGTTTCATCCCAGGTAGGATTATGGATAAGCGCCGTTAAGGTATCTCATAACGATTCAGTGTTTTATGATTTCTATTGGTTGCTTAACTAAGATCAATCACTGAAGTCAACTATGAAAATTTTATTATTCAATAAGTTTCTGGGATTATTAATCATATATATATATATGTATATATATATATATCAATAGAGAGAGTAGTATTAGTATTACTGCTACTACTACTACTACCATCAGTTGTATTAGTAATAACAGTAGAAATTCAGTGCCATAAACCCTGGACCGGATAGGAAATTTAGAATCGCAAACACCTTTAGTAAGTTTATTTACAGAGGTTTGAGAATAAAATAATGGAATATAACGATTATTGTGATACTGGTTGATCATTTAAAAAAGAGAAACTGTTGTACTTCTAATGAATTGTAAACTAATGATGAACAACATTTTCTTTCTTCAATTTCATTGTAATAGCTAAATTGTTCAACAGAAGTAGTCTTTGTGAAGATATTTTAAGATTGAATTTAAAGCTCAGTTTGAAGTTATCTGAGTAACTGTAGAAAAATCATGAGATTTCATAATGTTGTTTTCTATTGAGTGTGAAGCGGCAGATGCGCGATTACTTTTACGGCGTCCTGAACTTCAATAAAACAAATACCTAATTTTCTTCGATACTCATTGTTGTTTTCCTAAAGCTGACGATTTGCAATAAAAACTGACCTTCTGTTGCGAACTTAAAGGAATCACAGGTGGCTATGAATTTCGAAGTAAATCCTGAAATTATTGTGAGTCAAACGTCGATTGAATTTCGAAAAAAATATACTTTACACAGTGAGCTTACCTAATATGTACCGATTATTTTATGAAGAAAATATTTAACTTTATAAGTGCTGACTTTGTAATTGTCTTTCAAAGTTAAACATTACATGAGTCAGGACAAAACAACCGTAAAACATATTCTTGCAGCATTTAAATTCTAAGATATAATCCAGTTAACCGTGCTTACTTGTGCCTAACGAGATATCAAGACATCAGAAAATAAGGGGATTATACACATACCATTCTTACACTAATAATCTATCGAAGCAGATGCTTCAATAGATGTGGTTTGATGGTATTTAAAAATACCGAGATTTTTATCTAACTATTTTTACTTTGGATTATTCCTTATGTTCTAACAGGGACTCAATATGGTTTAACGTAGAAATCATTACTAATCTTCGAAGCGGAATGATTTGTAAAAGTACTGCGATACACTGAAAACTGTGAAAGCCAAATTTGAGACATTTGATGCTTACCCTAATTAAATTCCTTAATAGATTGTAAAACAGGGCTTAAATGTTCCTCAACAGAATTTTTGTTTTTTGTACATTAACTGAAGGTAAACATAGGACATGCCCCATCAACACTGTATTCAAATAGTTGTTCTTGATAAAAGTCTCCTCCAAAAAGCAACATTATTCACAAACAGTTTTAACACAATTTAATCATTGAAGACACTATCCACCTAACAGTAAATTACAGTAGTTACATCATTTAAATGTAATTCAAGTGTATTAACAATTCAATAGCCCAACATCTTTAGATTATCTGAAATGTTTAACAGAATAAAATCATTTAAATGTTTAATATCAATGGATTTATTTTAAAAGAATAAATTACTGATTTCATCATAAACAAATAAAGCAATAGAAGTACAGTTAATATCCATGAAACATAGAAACTATTCAAAGGATTTTTTCACATGGCAACTTTTCATTATGAATTCTTAATAAAACTAAGCCCGATCGAATTAATTCAAATCATTTTAATTTACACACAATAATACAAATGAATACAGATATATATAACAATGAATAGAATAAATAAAGTAGGATTGAATAATGTCAATCATTCATCTGTTGATTATTTATACAGTTCATGACCTTAAATTTCTGTCCTCAAGTTATTCGAATCAAATAGATTATGTATAGACAGCTTATAATAAAATGTATACTATGTGTGTACTATAATAATTTGAATGAAATTTTAAGAAAAAATATTGACATTTCAGCAAACTGTTTATAATTTATTCAGTAGTATATAAATAAGATAATCATCATAAATTTCGATTTTAAACTTAAGATTAATTCCCGTTTTGAAATAATTCAATGAACTAATTTCTTGTGAATAAAAAAATTTTGAAAGATCTATTGGCCTATATTGTAATAGGTAGTCGATATACTTAGTTACTGAAGAAATACATATCTCAATAAAGTAATGTAAGTGGAATATGAAAAAGAAGGGAGATATTTACGATTACTTAATGACATTGTCATTAAATAACAATGGAAATGAATTCAACAGTTACGGGATCTTTGAATTATGGAATGTTTTGGTTTGTTTGTTCCTAGGCTTCTTCAAATCTGAACTCATGATAGCTACTATTGAGTGTCAAGATTGGTGATCAATTAACCGCTCCTCTCACTCAGACGAGTATGAAAATAACGCATCTTATTTGTTTAGAGAAAACAGATCATGTCTTAATGAAGCAGTTGAAATGATTTCTGAGATTTGGTGCAAAGTATTACAGAGTGGCTGTTATTGTTCTTTTTATGAGGAAATTTTCTCAGAAAACACATTGGTTACTATTCAAGAAACACCAGGCTACAAATATATCTTTTAAGATTGAACTAACTGAATTTATTATACATGAAGTAAATTAATGCCGCTTAACATCAGTTGTCGGAACTGAGACGCATTTTATCATATAGATTTTAACTGCTTTATGAAATATTAACGAACAAATGATCTTGATATTTTTTTCAGAGTAAAATAGACGCTTATCCTGTTGCACTTTTGAAAAGAGATTAGAAGATCTATATGGTTGAACTGTTTTATAGTTTTCAGAACAGTCTTCACTTTTATTACCACAATTACTATCAGATAAATGTTTTAATGAATCATGTTAATCATTTTGAGATAGATGGACTTCCCTAGCTCACAAGGGGAAAACCAAGGTCCTCAAATACAACATGGAGAACAGCAATCCAATCACTCTTGATGGCGAAACTCTGAAAGATGTAGAATCCTTCACATACCTGATAAGCATCACCGATGAACAAGGAGGTTCAGATACAGACGTAAAGGCAAGGATTGGCAAAGCAACAACAGCATTCCTACAATTGAAGAACATATGAAACTCAAAACAACTTTCAACCAATACCGAAGTCAAAATCTTCAATACGAACGTCAAGACAGCCAGTTCTACTGTACTGAGCTGAAACTTGGAGAACTACTACAACGATCATGAAGAAGGTAAAAGTATTTATAAATGGTTGTCTACTTAAGATACTCAACATCCATTCGCCAGATGCCATCAGCAACAGCCTTTTGTGGGAGAGAACAAACCAGCTTCCAGCTGAAGAAGAAATTAGGAAAAGACGATGGAAATGGATAAGACATACATTACTCAAATCACCGAACTGCATCACGAGACAAGCCCTGATTTGGAATCTTGAAGAGAAGCGGAAAAGAGGAAGGCCAAAGAACACATAACGTCGGGAAATCGAAGCAGATATGAAAAGGATGAATAACAACTGGGAGGAGCTGGAAAGGATTGCCCAGGACAGGGTTGGATGGAGAATGCTGATGAATGGCCTATGCTACTTCACGACGAGTAACAGGCGTATGTAATTACGAAACCTGGGTATTCACAAAAAACATTTACCCGAAAATCAATTTGAAACAAATAATAACCATTGGTTCAACTAATCTGTCTCATTATCGGTTAGCAATCTTTATGAGTTACGGTATGGTTCAAAACTACTTTTTTGTATCAGAGATGATATACGATTAAAACGTGAAACATTGGTTTTTCTCTGGTATAGTTACTGTTGTTAGATTTAACCATCTATAAAATATACTTGCCAGTAGAAGTCACCTTCAGTTAGAAAGTGTAAAACTGTCGCCAAATCTAGTGCTTTGGATATAAATACGTTAGGAGCTGGATGAGGATATTACAATGAAATCAGTAATATATATATACTATTCCATATATTCATAACTATAGTAAACTTTGTGACGAGAATGTTTTTGTCATTATTTTTATGATTATTAAGTGTTTTAATGTTATTTTACTTATTAAGCTTGTCACTTAATAAAATATCGAGGCAATCCGCACAGGGTGCACATACGCCAACAAAAGACTGATCACTTGTAGTCCTAAATAACAATGGGAAGATACAAGTAAATAACATCTATTGAATTTAAAACTTCACCCCATTACACAAACAGGTGGCTATTGGAACTCAGTAGCTAAATGGATAAAGCAATAGCGTTTGAAGCGAACGGTAGTGGGTTTGTGTCCTAGAGTGAGGATCAACACTAATACGCAGGTAAATCCAGCTGACGAGGCACAAATAGGACGAAACGCACTTCCTGGATTCCACTGCTAGCCACTATCCATCTTCATTACATTATAGGATGTTTGAATATTTATTTATTGTAAGCTTAGTATTTTACTTATCATCAAATATGACTAAAGTATATTGTGTTAACATAACATAAATATTTCACATGTATTGGTTGTTTGAATCTTCCATTGATGTTGATCAGTCTCTTTTAAGCATATGTGCATTCCAAATGGATTTTCTCGATATTGCCATTAAGTAACAAACATTATAAACAAAGATGGAAAATTCAAACAGCCAATACAAATGAACTGAACTCCACTGCATTGCAGAAACGGCTATCTGGACTCAGTAGCTAAATAGATAATTCCGTGACGCTTGAAGTAATCGGTACTGCATTTAAGTAAACATCACCTCTGAAATGGATGTATATCCAGCTTACAAGCTCCAAATTGGCCAAAACATGTGTACTGAATTCCACTGCTAGTTACCAGGCATTATTGCTTATAGATGAATGTTTTATTGATATACAATTATACTTTGATGAGCTAATTGTAAATAATACATGTCAAACAAGATTTTATTTTCAAAACTCACCATCGTTTCACACCTAAAGCATCGGTTGTTTAAATGAATGAATTATTATTTAAGGATTTCAATATTAAACTCATCTATAGATGAATATACTGAGCACAGTATAATCTCGTCTTTATGACACATTATCATTTAAATATCTTAGTCATAATTTTATCTGAAACTTGAGTAGTCATCCCACAGTGAAAAAATTTTCAAAAAAAAAATGGTATAGTAGAAAATATCATTAAATTTATTCAACATTATATCAAGAATCCTTCCTATATGTTGATTTACTTGTACATTGACAAGTGCACTCAGTTACAATTGGTAAATGTACTCTATACCAATTACATTTGGATAAAGGCCATTTTTCAGGGCATATATAACGTAGTATAGCTATATTCTTTGTATTTTTTTCTTGACAATACATTCCAGGAGGTAGTGAACATGAAGTATTAGCTAAATTAACACATTGACCAGTTTTAATCCATCTTGGCCAAAATTTTGGTCCTAAATCATACCATATATAATATATAGGGCAATTATTATAATCATTTAAAAATTCTCGTAGAATACGTTTTAATTGACGATTTTTTTTAATACGATTTTGTTTAAAATATTGTTGATTCGATTGAAAATGTAACAATTTATCATTGAATTGATTTTTATATTTTAAATTTTCAATCAATTTTAATCGATACATTATATTTGAAAAAATTGATTTAAATTAGTATCTATGTGATTTTGTTTTTTTCTTTTTTTATATGAATCATGAATATTTATAAATTTTTGATGATTTTTTGATTTGATTTTACGTGATCTTCGATTTCTATTTAATGATAATAATGTTTCAAATGTATTTTTATCATCATTTATAAAAGTTGATGAAATTAATCTACCACTTGGAAACATGATAACTTCCCATGGTTTATTAAATGACATAAATTCACTATTAAAATTTTTTCCACCTAATAAACGAATCATTTCATTATGTTTTAATAATACATGATTATGAAATGGTCGTTCATTAGGTATTAATGGAATTTGATTAGGGAATATAGTTAATTGATCAGGTTGAATCATTTGATTAGTTGTTCTAAAATTTGAATTCATCTCTGCTTTTATATGAACTGGATCATTTTTTAATCTTTGAAAAATATTTACATTTCCGGATGTTTGTAAATCATGATAAAATTCTAAAGGTTTTGATTTATTAAATTTAATTGATGTAATATTACTGATTTCATTATTTGTATTAGGTGTATAATATAAAGTTGGTTTTTGCATTTGATATGAATTTATATTTCGATTTTGAAATAAATGCCATAAATAATTTGATATATTCGATTTATCAATTGAGTTACCATAGTTACTAATAAGATTCACATCTTGTAAATCATTGACAATATATGTTGATTTTGATGTAATTCGATTTGAATAAATTAAAGGTAAATCAATGAAAATACATATGAATATTATTAATTGAATGTATATATTAGACATTGTAAAACATTAATCTATATTGCATAATGAACATATATTCTATACACTGTACATGTTTAAAAGTTATAGTTGCTAGGGTGATTATGAAATTTTTATTTATATCATAATTTTATTTATTAAAATTGAAATTATTTATTTATTATTAGTTGAAATTGAAAATACAATTGATAAGTAGTATGTTAAATTTTTCTTGTTTTTCTTCTTTTACTATTCCATCTGGTCAATTGAAATAGAATTATATTTGATTAATTAGATGTTGTATAGCGGTTATACTTGGCATATGAGTTAGTTCTTTTTACAAATGAAACATTTTGTTTTTTCTGCATTGTTGTATTGTTTCAGCTGACCTTGAAAGTTTTGTGAATAGGTAAAATGTTATTTTCTATTCATTTTATTATAAACAAAATCGACATTCATATATATCGGGGGTTGGGGGTTGGGTGGTAGGGAGAAAACAAAATCAGTGATATTTTATCTTGACCAATAGGCGATTGGTTTTATGAATTTATAAATTTGTTCATTGTGTATAGAACAACTTTTACTCTAAAGAAGTAATTTTAATAAAATGATTTAATCTCAACTGAGAAAAATCATAAATAAGAGTTGATTGGGAATTTTGTGTAGTATGAACATAGTGTTCATTTACTACTAAAGATTAAGTTGGTTATTTCGTCTTAGTTACCAATCGAAGGGGATCTATTGTTATTTACAAGTAGACAAGTCATTTAATTTTTTTTTAAAAGAACATTTTGAAACTCATTACATTCCAATGAAAAATAAATTTACTTTTCAATATTTCCTTTCAAATAATCACTTACTATAGTATGCTTTTCTTATGATAATAAGACGTATTAATTCATAGAAAAGAATGCTACATTACAGATTTTTATCAACTCGCACAAGTATAAACCGTAATGAACAATCAATCAACTTTTTGAGTTGCGCTAATAACTTTCAGACGTTGTTAAATGAACGTTGCTATGTTCCTGAGTTATGGATGTACACTGTTGAAAAGTTCTATACTGGGACGAAGCGGATGTCTAGTGCTTCCAGGTTTATAATAGAAGTCAAACTCAGATTAGTTTGTGACTTTGATAATGAAAATACTACAATCTTCACAAATCCCTTATACTAGGTATGCATCAGTTGAAATTAAAATTGTGTAAAACTCATATCCGTCTGACAACTAACGGATTACGCTTCAAGTTAACTTTGAATTAATTAAAATAATATAGTAATAATCATCACAAGCCTATACTGATAAAATAAAAGGATAATATAAGAAATTGGAATGACTAACTATTTAGACCCTACAAGCTATGTAATTCATTTAATGAAATTATATTTTTCTGCATACAATTGGCGACACTGCGTTATACGGCTGTAAAGTAAACTTCGGATCTTATTAATGTTCATAAAACTGGAAATACTTTATGAAAATATAGTTTCGTAAAGACACCAACTTCTAAATAAATTTTCTTCGGATAACAGAAATATTTAGGTCCATTCATATCTATATTCTACACTTGAATTGGTTCAAATTAATACAATCTGTGTTTTTTTCGGTTTGCTTAGTGAGAAAACAAACTTGTATCCAATAGTGAAAAATGTTGCCATCAAGTTAGTATTTGAAATCGATTACCATGGAGGCAGATTTCAGATCATAGATACTAAGATAGTCAGTCGTAGTACATTCAGAAGCATAGAGATAAATACCTATCAATTTTCAGTTTTAATGTTATGATATATTTAAAGTTTATTCTATCGTACTGTGTTAACCAAGCCTTATTCTTTTGTTCAAAATGCAAAAACTATGAAGTTTAAATTGAAAACCATAAAAACAGCATACAAAGTCCAAAATTAAAACAAATTTATAATTTAATAGGGTGAATTATCATGATTTCTTCAACTAAACATTTATTCACTGGGCACTCAGATCACTTGAAGAATCATTTAAGTTGAAGAAATACTTAGAAACAACTAACATTTATAGATAAACATATTAGAAACATTCAAAATTCTTTATTATCTATCTATGATAGGAATCAGTAAATAAAGACAGTAAGTATATTTTGAGATTTCGAGTTGGAAAGATATTTCTTGTTTGATATGCTACTTGAAAGAATGTGAATTAGTGACATAAAAAATATGAAGACGAATAAATTTGATGTAAATCAAACAAAATTCATATTAATGAAACAAACAAATAAAAATATGATACCAGAATGGAGTTTTGTGGAAATTTTAATAATTTAATGGTTGAATTCATGAGTTAATTAAAGCTAGACCACCATTGAAAATCTGAAAGCACTGGACAATCGTTGACAGTAACTCAATTTCGTGGATTAGTTGAAGTTAGACATCAAAACTGTTGGATGTCGGCTCATTGGTCTATAGGTTAAGCGTTCGCGTATGAGCACGATAGATCCTGGATTCGAATCCCGCGAGCAGGATCGTGGGTGCATGCTGCTGAGGAGTCCCATACTAGGACGAAACGACGGTTCAGTGCTTCCAGGTTTTCCGTGGTGGTCTAGCTTAAATTGAATCATGATTTGGACTATTAAATTATTAAAAAGATATTCTTAACCTGATGAATAGTAAAATAAACCCCAGTTATATGTTTTCCAGTAGATATTTTCATATTTTCGTGAAAATAAATCTGTGATTGTGACTGGAAATTACTCAATACTAATTACCTCAAGATGCTAAAAATATAATCACTAATTATTAACGTAAAATAAACACACAGGTAACAATAGAATGCACCATTTAATGTAATCCTTTGAAGTGTTTGATTTTATTTATGTTCCACTCCATGGTAACAGCTGTTATGGGTTACTGATTTTTCGACACAATCAAATGTTTTGATCTACTCAAGCGCTAAAAATTATTGTAGCTTACATAGTATTTAGGGATAGTAGATAATTCATTTGGAATTCGACAGAGTGTATACAAACAATTTTGATAATAATTATTATTATTGCCATTATTCGTATCATAAGTCCACCCATGGTGGAGAAGATTTGTAGCTCAGATGGATGATTTTGATGAAAAAACTGTTGTCAATAGCTTACTATCAAGGTCTTAATAACATAAACAAATCAATAATAAATTTAATGTATTAATGCTTAGAGAATAGTGTAATTTGTTTATTCTATAGATTTTAAACTTACAAATTATAACGATTTACCATAGAGGCTAATACCATTCAATCTAATCTACTAGAAAATCAATATTAAATAAACAATTATTTTTCATTTACATTTTCAGTTTCCTCAAAAAACACCCCTGAAATCAATAAATTTAATATTATTTCTTCATTCTATTCTAATTAGTTTATTATTCGAACTTATACATTGATTTAATGGCGCCTATCTCTCCCTCTCTCTCTTCCTCTCCCTTTTTACACATTTTTATTACTAAAACACACTGAACATTATTTCTTTTACTATAAACAACAATCATGTAGATATTCCACATATTGAAATAAATATTTACCACGTTACACAGAGACAAAATAACTTTTTTTCTTCATATTTATTGTGATATTGTTTTTACTGTGAAAAAAAGGAGAAAAAAGAAAAAAAAAAGAAAATAAGTAATAATATTGATGAATATATGAGACAATATGTAGTGAATAAAGTTTTTTCCTCTTTCTCTCTCTCTAAAATCTTTCTCTATACTTTTTACGTGTGTGCGTGTATTTGTTTGACAACTTGAATAAAGATATTCAAAAAAAATAGTTTGTTATTCTTATCATGGTAACTATTATTATTTGTATATTTTAGTTACCTGTCACTATTCATCGTAAATTTTATTTAGTTTGATTATTATCGGTAGTTTATTTATAATAATGGTGATAATAACATTTAATGGTGAATTATATATATGTATGGACACTGAAATGACAATTTATGGTGCCAATGTCTTGGGGCTTTATTTAAACAAAATAAACTTTATAATATTTTTACATAAATATAAAAATATAATCATAAAACGTATTGCTGTAATGAACGAAAAATATGACTGAAGATTTACATACACATTGAATGACTGTAATTAGGCGCCATAATATTATACAATTTACATTTTTGTTCAAGATAAATAAGGCGCCATACTTGATTATACGACACAAAAAAAGAGATGTAATAGAATTTATGAACATTACCATAATTATAATACACATTGTGTCGTAATATGTAAGCGCATAAAAATAAATGATAATTTGTTTTCACGTTTGTAATGCGTTTATCCATGTCATTTATTGCATGTTAATTATATAGACATTGGAAAATTGAAATAAGTAAGTTTATACTTGTTCATCATGCATAAATAGTAAAGTAATCAAATGTTATTATTTTTCTAAAATATGTTTAGTATTTAATTAAAATGAACAATTAACCTAAGGTAATTACCATGTGAATTAACCTATGAGAAGGTAGAAAAGCATTTTCTATAACAGTTATAAATATGTAGGTAAATATCTGAATGAAAGGCGTATACTAAGTGAAAGCAGAATTATAGAACATTATTGTTATGAATTGATCAAAACGGTGAACACGGATGGAATTTGAATTTGTTATATTCGTGCTGCTCGTAGAACAAGTAACTCTTAACAGGTTTAGATGTCATATTGAGATCTGAGTTTACAATTGATTAGCCAGTGAATATGAACAAGTATCATGTTATTTAGTCCCACAGCGCGGAATGAATTTCATCAATCAATTGTAAAATCTGTCTTACAGTAGGCAATTCTCTGCTCAATGTCTTCAACTGTGAACGTGGTTGCTGGTGTTTGGAATCCTACAAAGAACATCACTTCCAAATAGCATAAAATCTAGGTTCACAGTTTCCTGTCGACTATTTTCAGCAAGCGGAAACTATAGAAATTTCGAGCTTGTAAACTTATATTAGAATTCATGTAGTTAAATCGTTTGGATAATCAAATATGTAACCACACTTACAGGAGAGTGGGCTTTTTCAAATCTATAATCTCAAAT